GCAGAAAAGAGATCACGGCAATCAGCTGCGTTGGTTTCAAAATGAGATCAACAAAAGGAACATCCAGTTAGACTTTGGGTGGAAGGGAAATGGGTTTAGTTACTTGGGAGACACCTCCCCAAGAGATTTTGAACATATTAACCTCTGTACGACCACATCTCCTTTATTAAGAAGGAGACACCTAAGTGGCTCAAGTTGCAAATCTGAACCGCTGGTTGCACAGAAGTTGCAAACAGTTGCCACTGATTCATTGCAACGAGAGAAGCCATTCCAGTTGTCCGGAGTAACCCACCAACTGGAAAATGGAATAAGTCAACAGTCCTATGCCGAATATGTTTCCCAGACAAGCACAGAGTTTGAGATAACGGTTGATAAGAGCAACCCTATCACAAGAATTTCAGAAATAGATAAATTGAGAGACGGCAAACTCCTCAGTTCCAGGCTTGAAGAGAGTTATGAAGTGGGCTTAGGGAAGCGCCTGCATCCATTGGAGGTACATGGCACATTTGATGGCGTTTGATATTGCTTGGGTGGTGGTGTTACAGATTTCTGTTCTCCTGTAATCTTCATTGCTTTTCTGTTCTATTTCTATGTTTTCATCTTATCTGATATCGAACACTTTCTTACATCTGGCATGCATCAATCCACATTATAACCTTAAGGCATTTGTGCAGATGCAGTAGCTGCTTGCATGTGTGGAAGCAAAAATTTCACCCACCAACACCCACCAAAAGGTTCCCCCCTTTATTTAAAAGAGGGGGCCCTACATACCGAAGACACACTTCTCTGCAAAATGGTGTTTGCCGGATAAAAGCAGCAGCCAGAATGATGTGTCTTTACACCATTCTCTGCCCACAGTTGTCCCCACACCCTATGATTTCAACAAGACATGAGGTGGAGGCAAAAAGTGCCGTTCTAACCTGAAAAGCTCGCCATCCAACTGCAGAATGATTATTTGTGGCCTACAGAAGTCCAAGAGCTCTCTTAAGTATTGTACTGCACATACAACAGGCCTGGCTTCCTAGAATGAAGAAAGAAATTCACAAATCCAAGTTGTTCACATCCACATTAGATTTTTTAAAGTGGTACTTGGAGCAAAAAGGTGCAGTCTCTCATTTCTCCCAAAGGAGTGACCCTATTCAGGGTTCTCTCAGCAGTTTCCTCCAAACTGGCCAGCTGCACTCTGTATTCCATGGCTACTGAGCATGCTCTGAGCATTGTCTCCTTTGAGGGTTTGTTTGGTTTTGCCCCCTTAGGTTTTAATATATAGTACTTCTATGAATCTTGGGGATTTTCTGCCCGCATTCACCTCCTGAGTTTGCAATTAGAAGGGTGATGATATTGCTAAGAGATAGTTTCTCTTTTTACACTTTGCTGTCATTCCATCCCACTTTCCTTCTCAAACCAAATTCCATATTGCCAGGGTTAATAAAGTTTGCTGATTCTTAGTGTTTGCTGTTCATATTCTGCATCTCTCCCCCTCCCCCGTTTATGGGCTAGATTAATAACTTGATGCTCTTTTCTAAGTACAGTATCCTTCATGATGTCAAACAATTCCTATTTACAGAATCTCCAAAATGAAGATTTATCAAAGATCAGTGCCATCTTAGAGGAAAAGCAAGCCAAGGAGGTTGCTCTGATCCCCTCTGAATATGATAATATCAAATTTCAAGGTCTCCGGCATGATGTAACTGCCAAGCAGTTGATTGAAGTTAAACTTCTAGACCTGAGCACGGCTGAAGAGCTTCATTCAGGAAAGAAGGCCATTGCTGAGGTTCAAAAAAATCTTGAGAATTTTTTGACTAAACCTACTGCAATAGCTGGGTTGTATATTGAATCTAGTAAAGGGAAGGTCTCATTTGCTTCTGCAGCTAAGCAGAGAATAATTGAAAAAGCATCTATGCTAGCACTGCTTGAAGCCCAGGCCGCCACTGGTTTTATCATTGACCCCACAGCAGGTCAGAAATACTCTGTTGATGATTCAGTTGCCAAGGGACTTGTAGATCATGAATACAAAAGCAGGCTTCTTGAGGCAGAAAAGGCAGTTTTAGGATATCTATTTTCTGGGAAAAAGCTGTCTGTTTATCAAGCAATTGAAACCAGAATCCTTGAAAGGCAGAAAGGCAAAAGTTTTATTGAAGCTCAGATAGCAAGTGGAGGTATTATTGACCCTGTGAGAAGTGTCCGTGTGCGTCCTGAAGTTGCGGTCCAGCTGGGCTTGCTGAACAACACCGTTCTGAAATTTATATATGAACATTCCAGTAATAAAAAAGTCTTCCAGAATCCAAATAATAGGCAGGCCATGTATTATAATGATTTGCTGAAGCTGTGTTTACTTGATATCGGAAGCAAATGCTTCCTGCTCCCTGTTGGGGAGAGAAAAATAACCACTCCGTCTGCAGAAAAAATTCATAAAATATCTGTGGTAGATATTACAACTGGAGCAGAAATGACCTCCTATGAGGCTTATAAGAAGTCCCTGATAGACAAAAGTACCTACCTCCAGCTGTCAGGGCAAGAATTTCAGTGGAAAGAATCCACATGCTTTGATCACCATGGAAATTCTTACCTTGTGCTGACAGACCTAAAAACTGGAATGCAGTTCAACATTGACGAGGCGTTAACTGATGGCAAAGTTGATAGAATGCTGGTCAGTCAATACAAGGAAGGGCAAATCACAGCCAGCGAGCTTGCCGATGTTTTGTTGAGCAATTCTAAACCACACACAGATGTCAACAGCCCCATTGCTGGTGTCTGGCTGCCCGAGACAAATGAGAGAATGCCTCTTTTGAAAGCTGCTCGCAAAAACCTAGTGGAGAGAACCACGGCACTGAGGTGCCTTGAAGCACAAGCAAGTACGGGAGGTATAATTGATCCCTTTACTGGGAAGAGATATAGTGTGGCAGAGGCCTTGCAAAGGGAGCTGATTGATGAGGCGTCTGCTAAGCACGTCCAGCAGTGTGAACTGGTCTTTACTGGGATTATTCACCCTGTAACAAACAGTGTTTTGTCAGCCGTTGAAGCAATGAATACAAATGTCCTAGAGAAAGAAATGGGCACTCGCTGCCTAGAGTATCAACATCTGACTGGTGGATTGATAGATCCCAAGTCTCATTGCAGATTATCGATGGAAGAAGCTATTAAAAGGGGCATTATTGATGCCGTCACTGCTACAAAGATGAAAAATGACAAATTCTACTTAAAAGGTATTACGTGTCCCAAGACAAAGAAGAAATTGACATATAAAGAAGCCCTTGATAATGCAGTTTTTGACTGCCACACAGGGCTACGATTGCTAGAAGCAGCTGAGCTCATTTCCTCAGGAATTTCTAGTCTGTATTTTTCCTCACAGTCATAATTTAACAATGGAAGTTATTAAATTGGCCTGCAGTAATTTAAACCATCTGGCTCATGGAAATGATTCCCTGTGATTTAATTGGGTTGTGAAATAGGATTCCTGGCTGATTTCTAAGCAGAACAAAGCATTTTGAGTTTGCTTATGTATAGTTTTCAGCATCCAGTAGATTTAACGTTGCTCCATGCTTGTAATTATGATACACAATTTGATAAGAGTTAAGCACTTCTATGCCCCATTGATTTTGGTGGAAGATTTAAGCTAATGCTTTACTTCTCCCTGAAATCATTAGGACCTGAATGTACTTAAAACTACTGTATGCCTGAATTGTTCCTCTATGTTGTATAAATGGTATTAGCAGCTTGCTAACTGGGATCATTGTAGTAGCAATGTGTTGCAGAGTTGTTGTTGTTGTTTTTGCCATTCCAGCTGCTCTTGGGAAATTTTCAGAAGTAAAACAGTATGCCCTGTTGCATTTATTTTATCATATGTATGATGCAATACTATCCTGCAAAATAAAATAAAAATCTAGAGTTGGAAAGCGACCACAAGTGTCATCTAGTCCAATCCCCTGCAATGCAGGAATATTTTGCCCAACGTGGGGCCCAAACCCATGATCCTGAGGTTAAGAGTCTCATGCTCCACTGACTGCGCTATCTCCATTGATTCAGCCAACGTTAAACAGGGAGCTAAGTATGTAAACCCTCCCATTGAAGTCAATGGCACTTGAATATTTGTGTGCAACTTAATATGCAATATCATAAATAGATTTGACAGGATGCAAAGATTACTGTGGTGTGGGTTCTGTCATAAAGACTGGATATTCTTCTAACGGCATGTTTACATGGAAGCAAGCCCCTCTGTGTTCGGTGGCAGTTACTCCCTTGTAACAGCACAGTGCTCCCCATGTCTACTCAGAAGAAAGTCCTGCTGAATTTAATGGGTTGTAGTCCTTAAGTGGGGTTAGTATGGCAGCCCAAGTTACATGGGGATAAGATTCTCAGTGGCACTGGAAATGATAGACTTCTGTTACATGATTATTGTTTTTCTGGTTTTCCTCCTACTACATGATTCTTTGCATTTAAAAAAAACCCACCATATTAAACTTAAACCTGAAATCGGCAATAAAGTTGGCTACAAAATTAGTAATTTTCCTCCTCAGGAAAAACATGTAAGGTGCTATGTTAATTGCACAGAATTTAAGTATATTATTGAATTTCATTGCCTTCTTCAACAGCATGATAATCTAGAACTGGGTGTACATCTAATGCAAAGGCTGTGATTTAGAGTGTTTTCCCTTGCAAACCCTTGCTTAGATTTGGCTTGTGCAGTGGTGGCTGGGAGGTTTCTGTAATGTGAGTTCCATCATCTATGTATATGAATGTGTTTATATGTATCATAATGGCTATCTTAGTTTTTTCAGATGTTTTGAATTAATTACTTCAATTACTTTTTATTATTGTTTACCTTTTTTTAAAAAAAAGCATGCATAAGAATGACTGTGGTAATGGGGATAAAAAAAGAAAATAAAAAATAAAGCTCATTATCTGGCATCTTCCACAATAAAATTTTTGACAGTGTAACTGTCAGCTTAATATACCTGCAATTTTAAATATATATATTTGCAATGCACATTGTTCATCAGAAGTCAGTGGAAGAGGAGAAGAAAGAACACGTCGAAAAAGCTGGGGACTTACTGAAATGGGTTTCAAACATCACCAAGAGCCTCGGCAAAGGTGGAGGAGAAAAGTCTGAAAAAGCAGATTCTCCTAAGAAACAGGTATTAAAACACTGCTTGAGAGTAGATGGTACCAGGTGCATGGCACAGTGTTGTTTTGTCTTGTTCCTTGCATCCTTTAAAGTGCCAAATGTGGCACAAGAACATTTCATTGTATTCAGCTTATATTTTACTCAAAGAAAACCCATTGAACTTCCTGGACCTAAGTTAGTCACGCCTATTAATATCAATGGGTCTGCTCTGAGTAGGGCTGGCATTGGATACAACCTTTACTTTAAAGTGCTTAAGAACAAATATAATTACATACTAGTGTTTTTATTTAAATTCACCAGACTACATAACTGTTACATGGGTGTTTTTTCCTGAAAGACTACATTCAAGACAAAAAGGAGAAACATTGTTTGGACAATAATATTCCCTACTTATGATGGGAAATGATAATACCTTCATGCCTTTCCCACCAGGTGTTCCTGGCTAGTCCTCTGAATGTTAATATGGGGGTGTAATTTTTTTATAAGTTACAGGAGTTGTCAACCTTTGAGGCCCATTCAGAACTCATATAGAGTGTACTAAGGGTACGATCCATTTAGTTTTTTAATCTCTTCCAGGTCAGCACACACTAACCCCCCCCCCTAAGTTCTTTTACATGGATTCTAGGCAAAAGTTTGTCTGGTAGAATAGAAACAATCCTCTTGAATTTGCATGAGTTTACATGGGATGCCGCCCACAAAAACCTATCAGATTAAATCTTACAGTAATAGACTATATTAAAAATCACAAGTCTGGTGTTTGCTAATGTCACAGAAATCTGGATCCAAAGCACTTCTCTTCATATATTTTCACAGTTTTTACAGAGGATCACAGCAAAACTATCAGAGTAGACAAAGAGGTGGCACACGGTTTAGTGATGGTTTTGCAGGGATCTCCTGCAGTTGGCAGCCACAAAGCTCTGTTGTGTGCATCCATCACAAATGGCACCAGATCCATGATTTTCAGTTTAGTCAGTGGAACAGATGTGATGGGATTTGATGGTGGTTAGGTAGGAGAAATTTAAAAACAGTTTGGAAGGGATCATTCCCCCACTTCCTGACTCCTGTAGCCTCCCCACTTTCTCCCACTGGCCACTCCCATTTTCTTTCTTTCAGCCATCCCCATTTCCCACCTAATCAGGTGCTGAATTGAGCCTGTAGAACTAACAGAGGAAATGGGAAAGAGAATGACTCTTCTTGTTTCCTCCTTCAACTCCATTGATGTTTCAAGAGGGGACCTCATGATGAAGGGGGCAGTGAGACAGGGTGTGTATCAGATTCTTCATGGGCACAAGGGGGCATTCTCAAGGCCACTACTACCTTGGAAACTCCAGGGACTTCATAAAACCCAATGATTATAGGCCCAAATCACATTGCTTTCCCCAATTTATTAGGGAGTAGCAATCACACAATTTAAGTTTATTATATTTTACCCCCCCACACACCCCATTTCCAAATGTCACACTGTATTCAAATAAGGGGTGGAGGTGGGAGGCATATTGGAGGCTGAGTAGGAACCTGAAATCTCACATCCGCCAAGAGTTAACATCCGAACCAAACCCTTGAAATCTGCAGTCAGCCCTGTACCAGCAAGTAATTTGAAGAACTTAAATGATACAATATTTTACTGGTCCCATTGCATGATACCAAGAAACTCTTCAGTCTTTCATACTTGTGTTGTGCCTAATGTAACTGGAAATGCATGTGTCCACATGCATATTGAATACATGGAGAATATGCAGATAATAGCACTACTGCTCAGACTTGGGGCCAAGCTACACATGACATTACTCAGCATAGTTTGTCCTCAAGCGCAAGCTGCTGCTTCCAATAAATGCCAGGACAATGGGTGGGCAATCTAGATCTGGAACCCTAGCTGTAGGTGGAGTTTAACCTGTTGCCCCTGCTATGTTCCTGATCTTGGGGGACCCCCAGAATGTGGAATTTGGATTGGAGGAAAAGATCTCCCATTGTTACGGACAGATGTCTCCCCCCCCCTGCAAATTGTAGACACGTGGTGAGATCCAAATCAGGGTCCCAGCATGAGGCAAAGGGTTAAAGACTGCCCCTCCCCCCTATCCACCTCACCACGGTCCCATTCTGAATTGGGCTTCCTGTCCTGGCAATTTGTGAAAGAAAAAGCTTGCAGACAAGTACAAACTGCCTGGGAAATTGACACGTATCTTTTGGTGCATTTAATTGTATGATTTCCAGAGAAAATTAGCACCAAACAACGAAACACTTTTATATTTTCATTAGAAAAGCCCTTGCTTGCAGTTTTTTATAGATACAAAAAAGCCACTTACTGAAATCCGCCTCATCGTCATAACGTACAGTGACCAAGAAGCAGTTTTAAACCACTGGGTTTGCATTCCCTCTTAACCATTAGGTTAAAATGGGCCACCTGTATCACACTGCAATCTTTTTCTTTCTCTCTAGTTCCTTTAAATTGTGGCTTACCCAGTATGCTAAATAGCATTTGTAAGGGGAGTATCTTGAATATCTGTATCCATCGTAGTATAGAGTAACTCCAAGGTGCAGAGATTGTGTGCACCAGCAGAACATTTTCACGTGACTTCCGTGAGCAGTTGTTGGGTGGTGCTCACAATGAGTAAGACTTCCTTCTTCTGGTACTCAAAACAATTTTGGAACTATTACAACAAGGTGACTGTTGCATTTTAATTTCGTATATGAAAGCATGGTTCCATGCCCTGTATCCATATACTATGTACCCCATGTAGGACTTTCAAAAAAGAAATCTGAAATAGACTAGACCAGAATTGATCTGATTAGTTTCACTTCTGTCAGTTCTATGGAATAAGAGAAAGCAGGGATACACTTAAGAGTTGGGAACCCTCATGGTTGAAAAGTGGGGTGTGTGTGTATAAGGCTCATCCACATTTTCAGCTCTGGTTAGAGTTGGCAAGCTATAACTTTTTCCTTGATATATGGAGAGTTGCATTTAATATTGTTTGAGAACTCCTGGTTTGGAAATACTTGAGAATAAAAGATCAGTATCCTGGGTAACTATACAATTCACACAAAATCCACAAAGGAAGTTAAGTGAGGTAGCTGATTTAACTTATTAAAATACTGAAAACGATAGCTTGGAAATTGTATAGACATCTTTGGTTGCAAGACATCCTGTGAGGGAGTAATATCAGAGCATTTGACTTCACGCATCAAGGCTGTTCTTAATCTGGTAGTTGATTATTTACAAACTGTCTAAAACAACTTGGGGAGCATTTGGTCCTCCCATATGTTCCTAACTACAACCTCCAGTATCCCTGGCCATTATCCATTCCTACTGGAGCTGATGGGAGTTGTAGTTCAGCAACATCTGGTCGGAAACAAAGACCAGAACAGTTTAGACAAAAGTTTTGAAGAAGGTCACCTAACAAATGTTTTTAGTAGTGGGTGTCCATATTTATACCTAAAATTAATTAGGGTTCTCGTGTTCCTAGTAATCTATAAACACAACCTTAGTGTTCCATAACCAAGCATGTATTTATGGCTCATTAATAAGGGTCAAGTTGGCTAAAAAGGGATTTGCAATATAGGCTATTGCTGTTACATTGGGTTGTACCTGATGCTGCTGTCGCACATGCTCAAAGGACTTCCCTTCGTACAATAAGCTATTTTGTGTTTTTATCTTGTATTTTCATACTGTGAACTGCCCTGAGATCTATGGATGAAGGGTGGTATGCAAAAGAATAAATAGACTTGCCACCCCCTCTCCCCTGCAACTCCCTGTGCACCCTCAAAATCTGTTTCAGAGGGTTGGGGGACCATGCAAGGTGAGGAAGGGGAAGTCTCCTTGCACAAGCAGAACACTGTTCATACATCGCTGGATACCACCCATTATGCCCTTGATAATGTTCCTGAAATGCTCACTCCTTTCTCAGCTTTTTGCTTTACCTTTTATGTACATTTCTTATCCCCACTCCCTTTTTTATTTTATTTCTAGAATGGAGTTGTGAACATATTTTCCTCCTTTTTTAGATATCTTCTGACGAACTATTAACCAAGAAAGAACAGATATCAGAAGCTTTGCAAACAACACAGACGTTTTTAGCGAAACATGGTGATAAGTAGGTTCATTGTGATTATTGCATTTTAAAATTAGTTGTGCCCTTTCAGAATTTGTGTTGAGGACGAGTTTCAGCCATTCCATATATAAAATCAGTGTGCAGGCAGCAGATATCCTCTAGCTTCAGGAGTTCTTATATGAAATCTGAAACAATGGGGTATGGGTGGGTACTGCCCCTTCTACCTTATAAATGGCACCTTACTTAATTCAACTAAAGCAGTTTGCATTAATTAATGGTGGTACTAATAATTGCACAGCTTGTTACCAGTGTATCCCTGGGAATAACTGCCCATATGACCGCCACCACTGCCAAGTTATCAGCTTACAAAGCAAACCTTTTCTCCAGGTCTGCTGGAACATGTCTTCATAGCATGATGTTGAATTCCACCCTGTATGTTTATTTCTTGAGGGAACAACTAATGTTTAGAAATTGCTAGCACTTCCATTCACATCTTCTATTCCCCCTCCCAAAAGAATGACAGATGAAGAGAAAAATGAAATGGAAAACCACGTGAGGTCCCTGCAAGAAGGTTATAAACTGTTGTCCAATGAAGATTTGAAGCAGTTGCAGCAGGAACAAGATGCAGATAATGAAAACGTGGATGAAAAGGTAGTCAACAGTTTGAGTTATGTTGCTGGCTATAGTATATATGCTTTTCTGAATCTGATCCATTGCATGGTTTTGGAATTCTGTATGAATACTAAAAAACAAAAACAAAAAAAAAACCTGCACCGAATTGTGTGTATCACACAAACAAAATCAGAACTAAAAGAATGACAGCTTTTGATCGGTTTGTGGAATTAGAATTATAGCTGAATGTCTATAAATGGACAAGTGGAAAGTTGTACATGAACAGGCTTTTATACCTTGTGTCTTGCATGAACTAAGAGCATAGAATCATACATCACTTAACCCTTCTTTTTAAAAGCCATACTTTGAATTCTGTCAAACGTCTGTACTTCAGAAACATGACACCACGTGGAAGTTCCATAGCCTCTCTACTCTTCTATATGCTCTCCGATAAGTATTTCAGGAAGTATGCCATATTTCCGAAGTTTATTAAATTTCAACTGGGTACATCGTTTGGAGTTTATAGTCACATTAACTGTGAGATAATACTTTAAGATCTATTACGTTTGACACTGCCTTTGGAAGGCATTACAAGAGTATATGCAAAGGAAGACTATTCTGCACATACTTCTTAAATGTTGTTCCCAATGGATGACTTTTAATACAACACAGTTGCAGAGCATTTAAGTAGCTACAATACTTGATCCTTATGTGTTTGGGTGTCTTTGTAAAAGTGCTGTATGCTGTAAACATGAATAGCATGTGTGTTTTTGTACCACATACTGTTTTCTCAATATATGCTAACTTCTCACAAAGCACATAGATAGCATGACAGTTTGTCTTTCAGGTACGTGTCTTTTTTGCTCACTATGCGATCATCTACTATTTTATCTTCCACTAACCCTCTTGATGTATGCAGAGCATAGGCTTTTGGTTTACCGATGCATGTTGTGTTTCAATCTTTTATCACACCGTGTGCTATTGAATCACTGACATCACTTCTGCATTGAACTGCTAACATTCACAGTTTGGGTGGAACTCTGGTAAGTAGGTGACTTTATATTGTACATATATCATATTAAAATTCAAAGTATTAATCATTTACCATTCATAAAATGCTGACAATTCATATTTTTATACTCATTTTTAGGAGGATAAAGTCATAGCTGGCATTATTGATCAAACAACTGGAGAGATGTTTTCAGTCTTGCAGTCAATTTATAAAGGCCTTATTGACTATGACACCGGAATTCAGTTACTTCAGAGCCAGCTCATTTTATCAGATATAATTTCACCAGCCTTGGGAAGAAGTTTTGACCTTGAAGAAGCCAAAGCCCATGAACTTGTCGATGACCAAGCTGTATTGCAACTACAAGGTTTACAGAATGCTAAAATGGTCATTTCAGAATTGCAATCAGCAGCACTCCCAGTTGTAGCTGCTTTGGAACAGGGTTTAATTTCAGAACCTCTTGCTATTAAAATTCTTGAGATTCAGCTTTCCAGAGGACACCTAATGATACCAGCCACGGGAGAAAAGCTGACTTTGCACAGAGCTTTTCAGAAGAATCTGATCTCTGCAGCATTATATACTAAACTCCTGGAAAGACGTGACATGAGCAAAGACCTTATTGACCCCAACACTGCAGAGAAGATAACCCTTGAGGAATTGCTTGAAAGAACTGTAGTACATAGAGAAACAGGCTTGAGGCTCTTGCCTGTGACCCCTCAAGAAAGAGGCAAAATAACTCTAAAATGTGGAAGGAAGTTAACTATTCTGAGAGCAGCTCATGAAGGACTCATAGAGAGGGAGACCATGTTCAGGCTTTTAGGGGCCCAGCTGCTTTCTGGCGGCATAATTCATCCTGATACAGGACACAGAATGACTGTTGAAGAAGCAATGAGAGAAGGGGTTATTGACCAGGATGCTGCTTGTGCTATTTTGACTCATCAGCTTCAGACAGGTGGGATCTTGTGTCCAAATTCATCAAAACGTTTGTCTGTAGATGAAGCTGTGCAGTGCAACCTGATCTCTTCTAGTAGTGCCTTGCTGGTACTACAGGCACAACGAGGCTTCATTGGACTCATCTGGCCACATAGTGGGGAAATATTTCCTGTATCTACATCTTTGCATCAAGGCATGATCACTAATGAGCAGGCCTGCAAAATTCTAAAGGGGCGGCAGAAAATAGCAGCACTCTATATTCCAGAAACTTGTGAAGTGATCAGCCTGGATGATGCAGCCCAGCAGGGAGTCATAGAAAGCAACACTTCATCAATTTTGAATAGTGTTACCCTACCTGATGAAATGCCTAATGTGGAAGATACACCATTGCCATTGAAAAAAGCTGCAAGATGGCTCTCGTCTTGTGAACTCCAGGCATCCAACCAACATCCTGATGGAAAGGATGTAAACACTTCTGACACCAGTGAGCCCATACCTTGCCACTCAGAACAAACTCAAAAGCTATTCATGTCTTACCTAATGATAAATAGTTGTATGGATGCGAACACCGGTCAGAGGCTTTTGTTACATTGTGGTGACTTAAATGAAACAGTCAGCCTGTTAATGGATGGCAGTCGTTCTGAAAATAATACAAATGAGACTGAAGGGCAATTGTGTTTAAACACAAAAACACAACATATTGAGCAACAGCCCAAAGGGGCAATGTTTAGTGATATCACTAGCAGTGTTTCAGAACAAGATACAAGTATTCAAAATATGTCCAGCAGCAATAAGAGGGAGGCATTTTGTAAAGATCACCAGAATGACATAGTCTCAGGGAGAAATGGTTTTCATATTGTGTCTGGTGCTTCAGAGCAGTCAGAATGTGTCACGAATAGATCTGGAAAGGAAAGCACTCCAGGTCAAAATCTTGAAAAAGAAAATGCACTTGGAAGTTTACTGAAACTTCCAGAACAAATGCCAGTGGAAGTGTATAAAAATTTAACTGACCAAGCAAATGCTGAAAATGCTGAAATGAAAGCATCTCTTTCAAACTGTTCACAAGGACACCTTCCTCCAATAGTAAATGAAGATAACAGTTGCATAGTAGAGGGGGAGAACATTAAGGGGAGTGAAAACGGCTCCCCAGGCATCTTCAATAGTGTTTTGGATGCAAATTATTCTTCAGCTATTAAGAAAGATGAGAAAGCTCAAGCAAGCACTAAAGTTTCACATCTCATGGACAACAGCCTGCAAAAATGCATGCCTCAGGTTTTGCAGATTGAAGAAGGCATTATGCTAATGAAGAATGATGAGGTGAAAGATGAGGTAAAAGATGACTTTCAGGATAGTTTATACACTAGTATAGAACCTGACCAAAAATGTTTAAATGAACGCACTAAGAAAGAATTAGAGACTTGTAATGAGAGTGGGGTGTTGCAAGTGGAAACGAATGTTACCCCAGTATTGCATAACAATGATGATAGGAATGGCAAGTTGCCATTAGAAGACCACTCCATAATGCATGGTGCATGTCTTCACATGAATGATAGGCCACCACGAGAAGACGTTACAAATAGCTATGGCAATTCACAGTTGGAAGACCATGCTAATACATTTGCTGTCTGTCTGTTGGAAAACTACACCAGCATGCAAGATGCATTACCATTGGAAACTAGAGTGCATACACATGACAGTCAGTTACTGGAAGATTGCACCAATAACTATAGCATGTCAGTCCTAGAAAATACTTCTAATGGTGATTCATTCCTGGAAGACAGCGTAAATTTGATCCATGGATTGTTACAGGAAGAACAGACTGAAAGTGGGCAACCTGTAGAAAATCAGATGACTATCAGTGATGGAGAACAACCCATAGATAAGGCTAATATACATAGTGTGTCTTTGCTTGATGACCATACCAATTCTGATGGCATTGCACTGTTGGAATATCATACTGAAGATAAATATATTGGACAAATTCAGAGAAACGGTGCTATTACTCATGCTGGATGTCCACTCAAGGATTCCATTGATACAAATGTTGGGCTCCCAGTAGAAGTCACTACTGACACTCTTGATGGATCATCCATTAAAATCAATACTGATAGTGAGTCCACATCACCTTTGGAAGTCAGTGCTAGTATGAAGCATGATGAACCACCTGTGAATGACAGCAAGTCAGCATTTGAATGTGGCTCACTAGTTCTGGAAGGCAATAACAGCAAGCAGTCTGAGCTGTTGCCTAAAAGAGAACATAGTACTCAGTCAGAAGATCTTTGTGATCCAACTCAACATAAAGATTGCAGTGAAGCCTGTGATGCTCCGCAAATTGATCATAACAATGGTACAGTTTATAGCTCAGACAGAATAAACAAGGGTGACTCCTCTCTTGTTAAAGAAGATGCTACTCCAGAACTCGTCCACGGTGCAGTAGCCATCAATGGAGTAGCAGATAAGCTGCAAGAAAAAGCAAAATCTTCCATGGGCAACCCAAGTAAGGAAGAAGAAAGCATTCTGTGCTTTAGTGAAACAAGTGATTCTGATACATTTGAAATTATAAATATGGCAGCATTCAATGCAAGGCTACTAGGCACAATTCTAGAAGACAAGGCAGAAAGTAGTAGAGATATAGAAGATAATGGTCAGAAAAAAGAAAGGGAAGAAGGTAAAGAGATTGACAGCTCCCTGGAAAAGTTGGATGAAGCTAAAATGCAAAGAGGTGAGCACAAGGGCATTAAAATGAAAGAAGATGACTCTGAGAGTGAACATGAAAGCATATGTATGGATAATGACAGTGATGATGATGGCAGTGGCAGTAGTGATGAGAATGGCAGTAGTGACAATGGTGATAGTGACGGGGATGATTTTGAAGGTTATGATTATGTGGATTTTGATTATGATACTTACGATGAGACAGATTATGAAGATGAAGAGGTATTGGAAATGCATTACTCTCAGTGCCATGATAAAAACATTGGGGTCCAGGTGTCTGCACTTTCAGAGGCAACAGGAAACAATGGTTTACAGTGCCCTGAAAGCTACAGTTCTGATGGCTATCAAAATTTAGCTGATGTTGTTAAAGAAAACATTCAGGACCTACCATGTAAAAGTAAAGAGGGAAGCCAGCAAGAAACAGAACAGGCTTCTGACCCTTTCATGCAAGACAGCCTTGCATTACAGAACAGTCAAACCTCCCAATTAAGCATAAGCAATGGTGCAACATCAGAAGACGCAATTGGAACAGAAAATATTAGTGCCAAGTCTGATATACCTTCTCAAAGAAACTTACGTGCTGAACACAGGGAAGCTAAAATTCTTGATGATATATCAATGCCATGTTTGAATTGTGAGAAAAGACAAGAAGTAGATAATGGAAAACAAGCATCTACCAGTATGCCACATAGTCAAGTAGAAATTGGTGCTCTGAAACAAAATAAAAATGGAGTGTGCATTGAGAAGGAATATCATATCCAGGAATCAAGTGGAAGCCTTAGGGAGCCTCATTCATCAGTTATTAAAAATGGTTATGAAATTACTGCTTCATATGATGAAAAAATAAGTATTGATCAAACTTCAAATAAGCCCACATTGGTTACAGACTCCAATGACATTGCTAAAGATGAATCAGTGCACTCTATAGAGGGGTTTGACCTCTCTACTTATTTAAAGCAAAGTGCGAAAGATATAACGGCCAAGGATATCTTAGCAATGAGAGAGAATGGTTCATCTTGCCTAAAGGAAGGTGAAAGAGACAGTGAAGAGAATAGAGAGGAGCTTGTGGTATCAGGAAGTGGAAACTGTGAGGGAAAACAGCACCTAGAAGAATTGCACCCCAAACAACAGCTGTTTCCTGCATCAGTTGTATCAGAACCCACAAGAGATAAAGTTAGCAAAGAGGGTAGTGCTCATTCCAAGGTGTATCATGATGAAAGCTACAGATGTGACTTCAACAATATGGAGCATGTTGAAGCTATTGGAAAAGTAGGGAGCAAGGCTGATGAAACAGCTTCTGGAGAAGATACATGTGTAATTGGATCATCTTCTAGTACTTTAGACACCAGAGATGATAGCCAGAATAACTCTGAGCAGAAAGCACATGAAGCAGTGGTCACTCAGAACATTATTGTGGGGAAGCCTACGGAAAATGACATTCTAGACCATGAGCCTACTTTCTCTCAAAATGGCATCCAGATAAAAATGCAACAATCACTAAAAGATGTGATGCTTTCTAATTCTGCCCCAGTCAATGATCAGGAAGTTGTTTTTTCTGAAGTGCCTCCTACATTACCTGAAAGCTTAACAAAAATACTTAAAGGAAAAATAAAAGATGCTTGCTGCAAGCAAGAAGAGGAACCTTTAAGTTATATTGGCACAAAAGCTTTAATGCAAAATTTACTTAAAATGGTTGATAGCACACATTGGGAAAACGAGGACCCTACCAAATCTGCTGTGCAACATACAAGTGAGGATACTAGAAGTGCCTCAATGGCTGCTTCATTGTGCATACATGCAAACGAACCTAATTCTGCCCCACCTATTTGGCTTGATAATAGAAGTCCTGATCTCCTCCTCGATATACTGAAACAAGACCATTGCAGTCAAAGAAATGAGAGCACCCATAAGACAATGGAGATGAAGGCCCAGACAGAAAGAGAGCAGGAGAAGAACACTTCTCAGCATGACCATGCCTTTCCCATCTCAAGAGAAACTACAAGTTCATCAGAATTAAAAGCAGAAACAGCTGGAGAGAGTACTGAAGCATGCAGTAAGGCTCTTGCTTTGAAAGGATACCCTCAGCCCGAGAAGCCATACCAGCAACCAAAAAGCTTCTCTGAAACTTTGGAAACAGAGGACTCTGGACCAAGACCTGATTCAAAGAGCATGGTGAGTAGCAACTTACAATTTTTGTCTGAAGCAAAGACATGTAAAACAAATGAAAAACGTATTTGGTTCATTTTGGTGCTTGTTAGCATAATCAAAAACATGGCACCTATATTACCAGTATGCTTTGAATCGCCTATCGCAAGGAATTGAATGTCCCCTGGTTAACATCATAGTAGAATCACAGATGAACATTTAAATTGCATCTCCAGGCATTTTTAAAAACAACAACACACACCATCCCTTTTGTTTTTAAAAGTGATTTTCTGCTACTGTGTTGATAAGTTCTAGTTACACTAAAATGACAATAATATTTTCAGAAGCAATGCTCTTGGTACTTGGAGAATATGAGGAGACATTTGACAGTGGTTCAAGATATGAAATTTCTCTTGGATGACCTGCAGCCCATCAGTAATGACCTGGAAGACCTAAAAATACAACTTGAGCAGTTAGAGGTAAGCTTCTTATCTGTATATAGAAAGTGAGGTTAAATAGTGAGGTCAGATGTCATTATTACTAAGTCTCTTTATATGCTGATCTTCCATGCAAAATAATATATTCAAGGTAGCTCATAAGACCCTCAAAACACAAGTCATCAGAATAAGAGTATAGTTAAATATGTATTATCTTTCATAAATATGCTAAATTTATTTGACACACTTCACAAATCATAAAAAAATATACTTATCATTAGCCAGTGATCATCACCCCACAATTCTCTCACCCAAAGGCACAGAAATGTGCACCCATTTGTCATCTAATACAAATCAATGGAACAGCACACTCTTGAGTCCTTTCCCCACAGATCCCATTTACAGGCCTGGGCTACACATTACACTCTCTCCATGGGTGATTCTCTGTCTATAGTGCGTGCATTTTGTAGTCCCTTCCTGCTAATTTATAGGAGGAAGAGAAAGGAGAGCATGTTGAGCATGGCAACAATGTCTAAAGTTAAGGTATCCCTGGATGGATGCTGAGATGAAGGAAAGGGGTGGTGCAGCAGTGGTTGGAGGAAGAGCTATTGCCATAGTATGGAAAATGATATGAGCAGTGTGGCAGGTGAGTGGGGAATGAGAGATAGCAAAATAAAGAGATGTGTATCTTGGGTTCTAGGGTTAATTTATCTCATTTGTGTGGCCATTTCCCAAGGTTCCCAGGGCAATTTTAGGTGGGGTGACCCCATTTTATTCTTGCATCAGCCCTGTGAGGTGGCTAGTGACTTGTTGAGTGCCCATGAACATCATGACTGGCTGGGGATTTCATGTTTCCCAGCCATCTCTAGGACTAATGGTACTTCTCCCTAAAATGCAAAGTTTCTTTTTCTGTCTTGCACGCAGTGCTACTAATTTTAGGCAAGACCTTAATGCACCTCATCTGTATTTGTTTATTTTTGTAGTCATTTGAATCAGGGCTTGCTGGCTTTGCTGTTACTCTGCGAAAAGATATGAAGTTAGCAGAAGAGTTTCTAAAATTTCAGCACAAGGATGTTCCCAGAGCACAACTTGTGGATCTAAAAGAAAGCTATGAATGTTTGGAGAAGGATTTCTTTGGGGTCTGCGAAATGTCTTCAAATCGAGCAAAGCAAATAGTCTTGGCAGTAGACTCTGAAATGGTAGGTTCAAAGCCCACATCTATTTTACTTCTGTAGATTTTTAACGTATCCAACTCCAAACTTAGATTTAGTTCAACCATTTTAAACAAAACCAAGTGTAAAATGCACATAAGTATTGTAAAATGGTTTTGCATACATGGTGACAAATTTATTGCCTGATACTAGCTAGCTGAAACCCATGCTCTAAAAGTTTGTTCACAATGAATGATCACTTGCAGCACAATCCTGTGTGTGCCTTCTGTGTTCATTGGGGCTTATTTGTAGGAAAGTGTGTGTAGGATTGCAGATGCATTCCTTCTGAATCACAGTGAATACAAAAACTTGTGCATCCTTTGATTACTTGAACATAAAATGATGATGTGCATGTGTGATTCAGTGATCATAGATCAGCACCGCAGACAAGAGCTTTCTCAAACAATTCATTTTAATGTTTTCATGTTTAGTTGTGTATCATCCATTGATTGTGGTGGTGGTGGTAGTAGTAGTAGACTTATAACCCACCCTGCACTAAATGATCTCAGAGCATGTTACAAAAATACCAACCTAAATTGATAAGCATGTGTACATGAATTTGTTCTTAGTCTCATTATTTAGTGAGTTTTGAAAGAAAAGTAGTTCCATTATCATGAAATGGTAACTGGGATTGGAAAGAATTTGCTCTCTCCTAAAGAATTTTTGTTAGATAAGTGATATAAACCCTTTTGCCCCTTGTTGGAGTGTCAGAATATATGCAAATGGTATCATCAGCAAAGTGTTCTTGTAGATCTAAAATATGCCACATGTATATAGTGGGGAAAATATCTCCTTATTTTTCCAATTATGTCAGTAGCTTTGTTTCCCTGTCATCTAACTAAAATCTTTTGGTTTGGTTTTCATTTTAGTTTGGTTTAGATCTGTTGTTGGATAAATATCTTATTTGTACTTCTTTTCTAGGCTAAACTTTCAGTGCTTCATCAGAAACATCTAGTCAAGCTTCAGGAGTTTACAGGTTGGATTGAGGAGAAGAGTGAAATAATGAATGATCTCAAAGTGGATACAAGTGATATAGAAGATGTGAAGCAAAGGTTTCAGTTACTCAAGGCATGTATCACTTGGTGCCTAATCTGTCAGTGACAGTTAACTTCTAGATATGATGTTTTGTAGGTGATCTCCACTCTGATTCAGTACTAGTTACCGATAACCTATATGTTCAAAAGTAGTGATAGTTTGGGTGATTATTGTTAGTTCGGATAGGCAGTCAGGATTTGTGCAAGTAACACTCCTATAGTTTTAACAGTTTTAACCTTGAGGTTGGTGCTAGGCTCAACATCAGAAAATGCTGTCAGTAAGTTTATGTTTTAACTCATTATCAGTCACATATTTTGCATATATGTCCACCAAGACTGTAGCAAACACAGCCTCAGTGCAATGATTCAAAAATAAAGGGTGGTGTCAGCAGAAGACTTGAACAACAACTTCTGCTGTCGCAATGGGGTTTCACCCCTCTCCTCCCCAACATTACATTTAACATTATGTAGATCTGATGTTGCAAGTCAATGAATTTGAGGAAGGCTCAACAAACCTAAACGTCTAGTAATATTCTTTAATAGATTCTGGATTATGAACTGATACAGAGTGAATTCCAGATCAGATATTTGAATGGTTTAAAAAAATGAGTGAGTGAGCTTAACCTTTTATCAAATGATAGGGCAGGCTTCCTCGATCTGGTGGCCTCTAGATGATTTGTAACAATTCCTATTGGCCCAATAACCATGTTGACTGAGGCTTATGGAAGCTGCATGCCAAAACGTCTTGAGAGCACCAGGTTGGGAAAAGCTGTTGCAAGGTTTTTTATGCTAACTATTTTTATTACTTAATTTGCAGGACCTGGAAAAAGAGTTTGAATGTACAAAAATGCAGTTGGAATCCACAGCACTTGATATTCAGTTCTTCATTTCTGAGCATGCCCAAGATCTTTCCCCAAACCAGAGCAAGCAGCTCTTGAGGCTCTTGAATACCACACAGAAGCGCTTCCAGGAAATGCAAGAGACAATAAGATCCCAAGTCGACCATTTTGAAACTCTCTTACAGACAGAACAAGTTCTTGTTGACCAGAAGGTTTGCTTCTGTGTGTGATTGTGTGCTTAGCATGACACCGAACCCAAGTGGAGACGTGAAAAAATGTTGAAGTGCAGAAACTGTACTCTAGCTGAGATCGAAAGCAAAATAATACAATGTTCCTGTCCTTCAGAATTCTAGAAGCACATGATAAATGTTTGAGGGACCAGTTATGTGCTTCCTTCAACAGCAAGTTTTGTTTCAACAGCAATATATAGAAATGATAAAATACTTTACCCAACAGTGGGTAATGATTTGACTTTGACTTTAAAGCTGAGTCATAAATAAACTAATAACGCTGAGGTAGCATACCTAGGACTGCACGTTAGACTTTGGGTATCTGTTGAAGAAGGATGCTTTCTTATCTAGTTCAGGAATCTAACCAGCTCCCTGTCCCAGGAAGCAACAATGGATGCTTCTGTGATTTGAGGGAATCACTCTGCGACTTGCGTGCTGCCCTTTTGTGGGTGAAATAGCCACAGGTGCTTGTTCTGCGTCTCAAGGGCCTTCTAAGAGGTCTGATCACTCTAGCACAGGTGTGGGGAACATTTGGCCTCCAGATATTGATGAACTAAAACTGCTGAAGTTCAGCAACATCTGGTGGGCCAAAGGTTCCCTACATCTGCTCTAGTGTATGGAAGGTAATGTACAGGGAAAAAGAAGAAGCAGAGTTCTACAGTAAGAGCTGTTTGACAGTGGAACAAACTCCCTTGGGAGGTTGTGGACTCCCCTTCCTTGGAGGTTTTTAAACAGAGGTTGGTTGGCTATCTGTCCTGGACACTTCAGTTGAGATTCCTGCATGGCAGGGGGGTAGGACAAGATGACCCTTGTGGTCCCTTCCAAACTATGATTCTATTAGTCTGCAAGCACCAAACAAGATTAACTTTGAAGGACAATTTCTTTTTTAATCAGTTGAGGGAGAAGGGAGAGTCTTCAGCTCAGGAAATGCAGGATTTTAAAAATATACTTAATAGGGGTGAAAGTGCCTTTAAAAGAACAATGAGTGCCATTGCATGTCTGCTTCTGTATTGCTTAAAACACAACAGCATTTTATATGTGGGTAATATTACATGTACCAACTGATCTAACACATAGTTTTCAACTAACCTTTGTTTTGCCATCCCCTTTTCAGAATTAATACCTGTCTGTTACAGGTTTCGAGCCATTCAGAGATTTGGATTTTCACACGCATAATGCATGGCCAGACCTCTGCTGGGCGGTTCCATCCAAAACCTGGTCTCTTTACTTACAGCATTTGTGAGGTTTATCTCATACCTTCTATATTCAGCTTCTTTAAACTGTGTGTAGCTGCTATCATGTTTACAGCATACTCTCAGAAATAGTGTCTGATGAAAGCTTTGAAATTTGGTTGTTTGAACATTAACCTGTATGAGAGCCTCTGAGCATTTCTATTCAGGTTTCTTCTTATTCTGAATTAGGACTTGGCAGACCAGCACCAGGATTTCACAGAAAAATTACAGGATATATGCGACCTTCTCACACAGACGGAAAACCAGCTCATCGGCCACAAAGAAGCACTTGCTATTGAAGATACCAAGGCAGAGTTGCAGCAATACCAGATCAAACAAGAGGTACAATGCTTGACTAATCGGCAGCAGCACAGCCAGGCGGCAATCCTTACAAATCACATTGGAGTTACTTGTAAATATTTCTGAGTAAATTGTGCTTGGGAGCATTTTGCAAGCCCTGTAAATATATTTTGGACTAACTGTTTGCACCTCACCCGAAGTTCAGTTGAGTTTATAGTGTGAAAGTTGGTAGGCCATCAATGAGGTGCTAGCAATATCCCTTGTGTAGCCTTCCAGCAGTGCCCCTTATATAGCCTGTACAAGCATCTTGGAATGGCTCTCAGGAATGTGGGGTAAAATGAATCCACTGAACAGCAATGCAGTAGAAGAGGAGAGCTAAAATCATCCATAGTTTAGAGGTTTGTTAGTATGCTTATGCAAAATTGTTAGATATCGCCCTTCATTTCTTCAAGTCCAAAGCAGAAAAATGAGTTAAAAGACCAAACCAGCCAAAAAAGCAATGTTACCGCAAAAACCCTACAACTTTATTTATTCGTTTTTATTTATTTAACAAGATTTCTATACCACCGTATCAGCAAAAATCTCCTAAGTGGCTCACAAAAAAACATTAATTAAAACATACTGACGAAATCAAACTTTAAAAACAAATTGACACCAAATTTATCAAAATACAGTCAGCAGCTTTAAAACAAGTATGCATGGATTGCCGTTTCTTTAAACCTTTGTGTCTGTTTCTATATATTTCATTAACTGCTTTAAGTGAATCCTTTTTGGAGCAGAAGGATGTGAAACAGTTTTGGGGTATTAAAAAAAGAATACTTAAAAAACGTAAACAAGTAGTTCAGTCAATATTCTCAGCCTCTGTAAAGAAGTACCTCTTTGCGTTTGGCTTCCAAATGCTCCAGTGCATGCAATTTTTTCTTTATTCCAGTAAATGGTTCAGGCGAATGTTCACTGTGTAAGTGATACAAGGAGCTAAGTCAGTTGATTCATTTAGTTATTTACTTATTTATTTGGGGGAAAAAATTTGCTCTCTCAGTTAAACAACCATCACGGCAAGCTTGCAAGTGATTGAAATAACAATTCCTTACACAACCCATCAGCTTCATGTCCCTTGGATGGAGTCAGAGTTTGCTTCCTTTCTCACCTGAAGTTCCTGGATAATTAGCAGTTGGAGCCAAGTGTTCTTTCTTGCAGGGAAAGGGAAAAGCAAACGCCCCACAGCTGCCCCATTTCAGGCTTCTGCATAATGTCAGGGTGGACTTCCCTTGTGGTGGTGTACCTCCTGTGGCGGGGGGGGGGGAGGAGATGAAGCCTTCCAGAAGCCCTTTGTTTCCTGGTCAGTGGCAAAGGCCAGAGTGTGTTTACCTTCACTCCCCAGGGCATCTTGTGATGACGTGAGCCATGCATTTAGCTGTAATGCATGTGTCAATTTGACCGGCCCATTAGATTTCTAAAACATGCAGAGAATTGTGTATATTAGCTTTTTGCAGTGCAAGATGTTAGTAAACAAAATTATTTCTGAATAATTCCAAAAGGTTAAAGTTGCTGGCTTGTGCTGTGGTGGCAGAGCCATCTAGTATTCTTGGCTGCTGGAGGCAAAGGACAAGATAGCAAACATAAACACACACCATTCCATGTACAGATGCCAACCAGATTAGCAGTTGAATCTTACTTCAACTGTGCCAGTGGGATGGCATTCTCCTATTAGAGGTTACCACTCACACACTTGCACTGTGCTTTTCTGCTAGTGTAGTGGCACCTCGGTAAAACGACTTCTTACTGTTTGTAGCAGAGTTTTCCTCCGAGGCAGAGGACAAGAACAGGAGTCATACTCAAATTCACAGTCAAGAGCTTTTTATTGCTTGACTGGTTGCACAAGCATTTCTGTTACTATTATATACAAGCTATTTACATTCTTTCTTTATCTCTCCAGCACAGTATAATCTCAGTCCAGTAATTAACAATCCCGACACAGCAAAACTCACAGTATCAGCAGCACACATTGTCTTACTTCCAGCCTTGTTGTCAGCTTGCGTGCTGACAGTGTGTGCATGTGTGTGTATGCTTTTGCCGTGCTGAAATTGCAGTCTGCAACTTCCTTTATTTGCACCACCAGCTGACACCAATCAAGCCTAGAGTGCCACTCCTACACACTAAAGTAAATTCTGGAACCCTCTTTAAAGCTTTCAGGAACTTTTATATGTTTCTTAAAGAATGTTTTCCTAACATCTCCACCATACCTAAGATCAACAGGCTAGCTTGGGGATACAGGGCAGGCCCTGTGGCACATGCTACCTTGTCCTCCCACAGAGGGGGATGCCCGAGTGGCTCAAATGGAATGATATAACTCTACCCCCTGCATCTGCTGCTTGAGGCGACTGCCTCACATTGCCTCATGGTAGGGTTGGCCCCCGAGTGGTGTGTCAGTTAGCTTCTAATTATCAGGGAAGAAGTTGTGTTTCAGGAAATTCCACGCTTTTCCAATATAGAGCTAAGGTCTCGATCTCACTCTTGTAGAAATTTAGCAATTGTTACTCTCTTGTTGCCATTTTCATGAAACATGAAGGCAAATCCAGCGTGTACCTTAGAAAAGGGGCTTTCAAAGTGAAAAATAAATGGATAACTCTTCCTTCTAATTTTTTTATTGTTGATCTCTCCCTCCCCCCCCCTTTCCAGGAGCTACAGAAAGATATGCAAGCAAATACACAGGCGCTGGCAGAAATTGTGAAAAATACGGAGATGTTTTTGAAAGAAAATGGAGAAAAGCTGCGACAAGAAGACAAGACTGCTCTTGAAAAGAAGCTTAATGAAGCCAAGACCAAGTGTTTGCTGCTTAGCCAGAAGGCAGAGGAGTCCAGGAAACAGCTGGATAAAGCTGTGACAACAGCTATTAAGCAAGAAACAGAAAAGGTTCTTTGGCAACCATTTAATATTTATTTTAAAATGGCTCATTGCTATAATTTTCCCTTGCATGTGAATGCTGACCATCCCAGACAATGTCTGAATGTCTGACAATGTCTGACAATGTTTGTGAATGTCTGAAAACTCAAGGAATTGATTGCCATCATCATCATCATCATCATCATTATTATTATTATTATTTTACTGTGTGTATTAAATGTAGGGAAATGCATCTATCTATTTTCAGACATTCACCAAATGCATCTGGAATTGTCAGTATTTGCTTCCCAAAAGAAAGGAACATACAGTGGAATTCAGTGTAGCACTTAGGAGATAGTTGTTCAGCATAAACAGTTCTGCTTGCCAAATGTCTCCCCCTGTATTCTGGTCTGAGGATTCTCCCAACTGCCCCTAGCCATTTTTTTTTCCTTTTTGGGGGGTGGAGTGCAGTGGAGGAAATTCCCATTGCACTAGCTAAAATCCTTGTGCAGACTTTCACTAATGTGTCCTGTTAGTTGAATGTGGCCCATAGACATAAGTATTTCCTCCCAATGGAGGATCCTTTAAACAATAGCCCATGTCACAGAATAATAATTCATTTTAGTTCTTCTCATTTTTCCTAAGCATACAGAAGTGCAGGCACACTGCATCATTCTGCAGATATTTGCATGTGTCCAGTAGGAGAAAAAGTCCCACTAATTCCCTCCCCCCCCAAAAAAAAGTGTTAGTATACCCTTGTTTGCAATATCACGAATATCTGCATTTGAACTTTTCATGACTGCATAAGATTTGAGCTTGAACTTTAATTGTGCAGGTTGCAGCTAGAGAGCAGCTAGAGGAGAGTAAAAGCACAATAGAGAATCTTCTGGACTGGTTGTCAAAGGTCGACAAGGATGCTGAACATGGGGGCAAGAAAGACAAGCCAGCAATTAAACAGAATGGCAATCATTTCCAAGAAGGAGAGGTGGAAGAGTTGGCTGGAGAAGACGATGAAGTCAATGGCAACTTGATGGAAATCCAACAACAGAATGAAACTCACGTGGATGGACAACTGAAGCCCTCAGAAGATAATCTCAACATGCAGTATCAGAAAGTCAAGGTACTACATGTGTATAATACTAATTGCTTTATCAATTCACGCTTGTCCTGGAAAAGAAATGAGGGTTGATATAAAGCCACCTCATGTGCCATGGAGCCAGCCTTGCCAGCTGTTATGGTGGCCTTGAAAAGGTACAAAGCGAAAGCCTAGTGCAGCCAGGAGACATAATCTGGTCTGCCTCCAGATCTCTGCTTTTCATAGCAAGGAATCTCTAGAATGAATTTGTGGGAGGTGATTTCACCACCTCTCACTGCACTACAAGCCTCAGAGCATATTTATTTCCTAGCTCTTATCTAATGAACCAATAGAACATTTTCATCTCTAGCTTCTGTGTTGAAAGTGTTCAAAGCTGTGGAAAATAAAGGCAGGCCAAAGTGGGAAGTATTGACAAGCACACCCAAACAGCCCAGCCTTAGCACATCTTACATCCATCGGAATGCCAGTGGCCACACACAGCTCCCTTTAAGCACAAGGTCTCTCTCAAAAGCCTCAGTGTTATGGATAGCTCTATGCAGGCACGTCCGTGCATAAATGGAACTACCCCTAACATGAAGCCATTGAAGAAGCCTTTGTGTGTGTATTGGGATATTTTAATGCTGGTGATTTGTTCTTGCGATTGGGAAGTAGGAATGTAGTTGGTTGGTACATCTGCAGCACACAGCATTTTGATTTGTTTAATGTTTCTGAACCCTCGTTAAGTACATTTCCTAAGAATCGGACACATTACAGATTGCACTGCTAATTATATATGTACGTTTTGATTCCCTGCCGCTTTCCCCACCCAGGCTCAGCATGAGAAAATTATTTCCCAGCAGCAAGCTGTCATAATAGCTACACAGTCAACCCAAGCCCTGCTTGAGAAGCAAGGACACCATCTTTCTCCAGAGGAAAAGGAGAAGATTCAAAGGAATATGAAGGAACTGAAGGTGCAGTATGAAACTGCCTTAGCAGAGTCGGAGCAGAAGCTGAAGTTGACTCGCTCTTTGCAGGAGGAGCTTGAGAAGTTTGACGCGGACTATGGCGAGTTTGAAAGCTGGCTCCAGCAGGGAGAGCAAGAACTTGATAACCTGGAGACAGGTGCATCTGACTTTAATGGGATTATCATCAAACTGAAAAGGCAGAAGAGTTTTTCGGAAGATGTCATTTCTCACAAAGGGGACTTGCGGTACATCACCATTTCTGGACAGAGAGTATTGGATGCTGCTAAATCGTGTAATAAAAGAGAAGGTGTCAAATATGACAAGGATGGTATTGATACTTCTTCAACTTACATTGAGGTACAGAATAAGCTGGATAGTGCAACTGGTCGCTTCAAATCTCTCTACTCTAAGGTAAATTGAGTCTGAATTCATGTGGAATGTGTGTCCATGAGATAAACCTTTTAGTTCACTGAATTGTTACATGAAATTAAAAGCAGAATGCTTTCTGTAGAGGAGGAGCCTGTCTAAGGGTATTTTTTGCTGCATCTCTCTGTATCTTATGTTTTCCCTGTATCAGGCAAAATGTATAACTGAATTGAGGAAGCAGGATTAGGGTTTAGGTTTCTCCCTTTCACTCTCAGTTTGTGAGTTTCTACAGTCTCTTGTTCCCACTTTTTGTTGTTACTCACTTCATTTTTATCTTACTCTTTCTCCGTGAGCTCAGTCTCCACCCCCACCCGACCGCAGTTTATTCTCACAAGCTGAAAAGTAGGTTAGGTAGGTTAGGCTGTGAGTGAGTGGGACTGGCCCAGGGTCACCCACTGAGCTTCATGGCTAAGCAGGGATTTCAGCCAGATTCTCTCATGTCCTAGCCTGACATTCCCATGCACCACTTGTGAGCATTGCCAAACCAATTTACAGTGGAACCAGATATGATCCTAAAATCACATTCAAAACCTGGATATAATCAGGGTTCTCACAGTGAATTTGTGAGCATAACTGCTGTCATGTTAATTAGCCTTGGAAGTATTCCTCATCATCCCTAAACCATGTTTAAATCTTGCAGTTCAATTCATTGCATGTTTCTTCAGAAGTAAGTCCCGCTGTGTTTAATGGAACTTGCTCCCTAGTAAGTTTGCTTAGGATTGCAGCTTTAATGTTAGTGTACTGGCTTTATTTAATGATATATGGTGGGGGTGGTGTTATGTGAAATACTAAATTGCCCTATTCTGTATATTTTTCTGTATTGCACAATATTTGATCTTCTCAGGGAATCCCATTTGTTTTCTTACCGTTTACTCTGAGGCTTTTAAACGTGTGCTCTGAGACAACTTAGAACCAAATTTGGTCTCTGTAGCTATTTAAACAGCCCTTTTAGTGCGTTAAAAAGAGTATCTTTAAGTGCCTGAACACATGAATACAGAAAGTGGGTGGGAGCAGGGACACACAAACACACACTCCATCCCCAATGTCCTCAGCTGTTGAGCTTTCCTGTGATGTGCTAATAAGCATTCTGCAGGTGACTTCTACTCATGTTCACTAGAATTCAAGTAGAACTCTTATAAAGAGTTGAACTCTGATAAAGCAGTGTCCTCAGTTGCATGGAGGAGTCTTTTTGTGTGCAAGTGAGCAGAAGTAGAAGCCCCTGGCACACTTCCTCTGTGCAACGTGGAAGGCTGGGGACTGCAGTAGTGTGATGTGTGTGAGGACATTGGGGAGTGGGGCTTGTGTGTGCACCCCTGTCCACACTTTTAACAGTCCACATGTTCTGGTGAATGCCTGAACACCCCTAAGGCAGCAGTCTGATTGCTTCAATATGTGCCCAAAGCACAGATCAAAGCTTTGCCACTCAGGTGACATTCTGTGGTGGTGTGGTAAGCAGAAATCTGGGTGATGCCATAAGATTACCACGTAGCCACAGGTTCAGCCCTTGCCACAAATGATAATCTAGAAATCGACTAGAAGTTTCATATGGCTGCCAGACATCAGCAGGTACCACTTTGACTACTGCTCTGCATTGTGCTGGGCTTCATATTTTAGCTAAAACACCACCATTGTACATATGGGGTGATGGAAGAGAGATAACAACTGAGATACACACTAGCCAACACACAAAATAAATTTATTCTGGAATTCTTATTTTGTTCATTTAACTCAAACTTCTAAAACTTAGGTCTTCCTCAGGATATACAAACTTCCAGGTTATGATTTTGTCTGCAAATCCTACTTGTCTGGCTTTTCAAATTTGACCACTAGATGGAGCCAGTTGCAATAAAAAACCTCTCACATGAGTGTCAGAAGTTAGAAGTTAGTGAGGAGGGAAATTTAAACAAAAGCCTTGGTTCATGAAACACACTCTAAGCCAAACCTTCGCTTTGCTTGATGCAGTGTGGCAGAAAAGGGGTTTGGTTTAGGGTGTCAAACAAAGCAGGCTTGTGTGTGCTTTCCATGTTCAGCCGTTACTGGAGCAGTATGAAAAGGCATTGTTATTGCATAAATATATTGCAGTATGAGCTAAGCAGAGTATTTGAATTACCATTACAAGATGTTTTCAAATCGCCTAAGTCTTTTAGCTAGTAATATTATATACAAATGCTTTAAAGTATATATCCATTCTTGAACACCGTTTTCTCTCTGTGCACTTCTAGTGCAGTATCCTTGGAAATAACCTCAAAGATTTGGTAGATAAATACCAGAATTATGAGGACACCTCATCTGGGCTTCTGACAGGACTTCAGGCCTCCGAAGAAGCTGTGAATAAACAGTTGTCTGAGGCAGTTGCTGTAGATCCAAAAAATCTCCAGAGACAACTAGAAGAAACCAAGGTAAACCAAGTGGGGAAAAATCTCCAGAGCTGTTGTATTTCAAGAAAAAGCAGTTTATAGAATAAAGGAAGGCCATGTTCCCCTTTGGTGTATGTGTGTTTGGGGGAGGGGAGGTGTACATTAGTTGAACATGTCAGATTTAGAAAAAAATAATGCTGGTTGTTACAAGGGAAACCTGGAAGTGCCCTGTCAATGAAACTTTTTTGATCATTATCTCTTTGGCTTCCAACTTGTTCATGGGACCCCAAGTGCTTATTGAACATTGTGGCTATATGTCAGGGGTCCCGAACCTTTTTGAGCCTGGGTGCACATTTGGAAAGCTAAGGAACAGTTGTGGGCCAAACATCCATCTCACATAGTGGGGCGGGGGGATCCACCACTCACGCTTGGATCTGATCCAACCACCACACAAATAAAATGGACAAAAAGTGTAAGCAATCCCCCACGCCCCCCCCCAAAAAACCCTCTCAACAAAATAAAACCCAGTAAATTTAGAAAGGACATTGAAAGGGCAAGTGGCCTCATCAGGGACCAACAGTGTCTGTCTAAGAGAACCAGAAGTAGAATCAGGACAATGTATATGTTTTTACTCCTTTTTATCCTCACCACACCCCTGCAAGGTAGATTATATTGAGAGATAACGAGTGACTCAATATAACCTAGAGCATATCATAGTTTAGTACGGTGCTTTTTTTCTAGACAAAAAGGTGTCAGAACGCACCTCCCTCAGAAGGCCACCCCAGAGCCCAAAGAGGATCTCTTTGGACTTGTGAGGGGTGTCTCCTCATGAGCCAGAGGCTTGTTGAGGATGCTTATCTGAGGTGAGTCTTCCTCGCCTCAGCTGAGCAGCATAATGAGTCCCCGCCCCCACCTCTCTGGCTCTTATGAGCAATGGGGCTTGCTCAGCTGAGGCTCGGCTTTCCCACATGTTAGCTGGCAGGGGAAAGAGACTCAGCAAAGCACCTCTGTGCCTCCAGCTCACCAGGAAACCCTCTCCAGAGCATGAAGCGGATGTCTCCTTTTGGGCTCTGGGGAGAGTCCCCTAATGAGCTAGAGGTGCAGCAGGGCTTTGCTGAGGTTGGTTGGGCTCCTCCGCACTTCCAGGGCCCAGTTGACATGTGCCGGAACAGCGTTCCAGAATGTTCTGACAGGGGGAAAAATGTCCTAGTTTAGAAGGGATTTGATCTCAGTCTCCTCGGTCCAAGCCCAGCATGCCTACTCAGAGTCACTGCATCACGCTGGCATCAGGGGAAAAAAATCACAATTAAAGTACAGTGGTACCTCGGTTTACAAACACTTTGGGTTACGGACTCCGCTAACCCAGAAGTAGTACCTCAGGTTAAGAACTTTACTGCAGGATGAGAACCTAAATCGTGCGGTGGCAGCAGCAGGAGGCCCCATTAGCTAAAGTGGTACCTCAGATTAAGAACGGTTTCAGGTTAAGAATGGACCTCCAGAACCGATTGAGTTCTTAACCAGAGGTACCACCGTATTTGTGTGGCGAGAGGAAACAACAACAACAACAACATGGACACTTCTTCATAAGAAGTTTTTTTTTTTTAAAAGAGAACTGGATTAAGGTAGATGAAACATTCTCTTTATCTGGAGTTCTTTCCTCCAAATCCTCCTGGTTCCCGACAAAAGTTATCTCTTGTGACATAAAGCAGAAGTAGCGCTATAGGCAGAACAGAGAGGGCTCTCCATCTGCAGCCTGCCCACTTTACCACCCCAAAGGCCGACTGACATCACAGATTGCGTTTTTAATAATAAAACTTTCTTCCCATGGATGGGTAACTGCTTTTATGTGACAGGGAAGCTCTGTTTATAGCAGTTGGTTAGGAGAGCCTGTTTTTTTTAAAATGAAATGCTTATCACAGTGGTAGCCAAGTTGCAATTTTAATGTATAGCATGAAAAGCATAGTCATTGCGTAAGTCCCATTGTAGTAAACGGGAGCTATGCAAAAAAAGGGCAGTAAGCAAAATATCTTGGGCTGCAAATTGCGCTTGCCCATCAAGATAAGAAGTGCCTGTTCTGAATCAGTGTAGCTTCATTTAGTGTAGCTTTCTATCATCCTGAGTAGCCAACTGGATTCTGCTCAGAAGTTCCCCAGCAGAGCAAGATGTGTATTGTCATCTGTAAGATGTTTAATGGTGTCTGCCAAACCAATCTTACTGTTATTGTGTGCCTGTGTGTGTGTGTGTGTGTGTGTCTACATACACACACAAGTTAGCAAGCAGTAGAATTGAAAAATTGTACATTTTTACAGGTGCTTCAGGGGCAGGTGTCCGGTCACCAGGTTGCTGTAGAGAAACTGAAAAAAGCTGCCGAAGTGCTTTTTGACACCAGGGGAGAGTTACTGCCAGACAAAGATGAAATCCAGAATACCCTGGGTAAGATGAGTAACTGTCTTCTCCGTTTTCTTCTTTCATTGCTCATATTTGTAGACTGGAGAAGATACTAAGTGGTGGTTGCCTCCTGGCCTCCTACAACTCAGCTATTTTTACCATTATTATTTTTTAAGGCAAAGGGCATAATTCACTGAATCAGGCGGAGCAGTTGTTTAGCTCTCAGCCCATGAAAATCAGCAGGACTTAGTAGTGCTCAGGTTTGGCTGGGTCATGTCCCTATAAAGTAGCACCAAACCGTACGTGACAGTGACAGGCCCGTGTCTAAATGCAGGTCTGCTGCAGTCGCATGTTACAAATGGGATGAGTGAGCCATTTGCAAGGGCAAAAGGGTGGAGGGGAGATGTGTTGAAGTTGCTTATGTGAGACTCTCAGTAGCTTTCCCATGAGGCAGTGATCAGGTTTTCTGCTGCTTAGCTTCAATAGCTTCAGGTGATCCTAGGGCAGCATTGGGGTACCTGGGCCCTCCAGGTGCCATCGAATTCCAGCTCCCATCAGCCCCACCCAGTGGTCAGGGATGATGGGCATTGTGTTCCAGCAACATTTGGAGAACCACGGGTTCCCCATGTCTGTTCTCCAGTCTGGAGGTGACCGTTGCGTGGATCACAGTGGCTAGGTCAGGGCGAGAGAGGTAAGGAGCCAACGGCTTAGCTTGGCGGAGATGAAAAAATGCCGCCTTTGTTGTAGCTGCAATCTGCGCCTCCTTGGAAAGGGAGGTGTCAAAGATTACACCCAAACTCTTAACGGACGGTGCTGGCACTAATTGTGCCCCCGCAAGAGATGGGAGTTGCCCCCCCAATCCCATACCGTCCCTTCCCAGCCAAAGGACCTCTGTCTTCGAAGGATTTAACTTCAACCGGCTCCCAGCCACAGCTTCCAAACATCTGATCAGTGTGTCTGGGGCCGAGTCAGGATGGCCATCCATCAACAGATAGAGTTGGGTGTCATCAGCATACTGATGGCAGCCCAGCCCAAAACTCCAAACAAGCTGGGCGAGGGGGCGCATAAAGATGTTGAAAAGCATTGGGGAGAGTATTGCACCCTGAGGCACTCCACACACCAAGGAGTGGCGCGATGACAGTTCCCCCCCAAGCACCACCCTCTGTCCCCGACCAGAGAGAAACGAGCGCAGCCATTGAAGGACTGTGCCCTGGATCCCCACGTCGGCAAGGCGGTGGTCCAGGAGTTCGTGATCGACCATGTCGAAAGCTGCTGACAGATCTAGAAGAATCAGCAGCCCCGACCCGCCTCGATCCAGCTGCCTACGGAGATCATCTGTTAGGGCGACCAGAGCCGTCTTGGTCCCATGACCAGCACGGAAGCCGGACTGGAATGGATCCAGGGCCGATGTTTCATCCAGAAACCCACCAAGCTGTTCAGCAACCGCTCTCTCAATCACCTTACCCAGGAATGGAAGGTTCGAAACCGGGCGGTAATTGGATAGATCTAAAGGCTCTAATGATGTTTTCTTTAAGAGCGGGCGCACCACTGCCTCCTTCAATTCCCCTGGGAAGCGCTAATCATATGTAAACATTTATAGTTAAGAAGAGTAGTATCGCTTTCCAGTTCATCACATCTATATTTCTTTATACAAATATTATTTACCACTATACCATTTTTTAAAAAATCAAATTAGTTTTCCCTCTCTCTCTCTCTCTCTCTCTCTCTCTCTCTCTCTCCACACACACACACACACGTTAAAAAGTTAAGATCAGAGGCCATCAACTGTCTATTATTCAAAGGCCAGCATAGGCATTAACTGTGCATGTTCATAATTTGTTTTCCTGTTTCAAGCCGGAAAAGAATTAGGGGAAATGACACACAGTTCAGTGATATTTCTACTTGTAATAATAATCAAATATGCTGAAACAGAGAAACTGTTACCAAGAAGTGCAGAGGTAATGACGGGTTAAACCAAACTTTGGATTCAGGGGTGATCTTGTGGTTTCAGTGAGTTAAAGAGACACACATCCTAAGAGTCTGGAGAAGAGGATATCTGAGCTGATTGAGGTTTCTTTTAAAATTATAACTGTTCTGCCCTAGCAGCCATATGAGATTACTGGAATATGTATAAAGGCCTGCAAGAGAAAGCTGGCTATGCAGACTTAAGCCTTTAATTCCCTGGTTCCAACCGTCAAGTATGCGAAGTCCATCTGTTTAACATCCTGCTGTTACAAGTTAATGTATTAAAATATTGCAATACCTCTTTTCATACTCATGCCTGGCACTGCTTAACCTGCTAAATTTTTGGTGGTTTGTTTTTCAGTGCTCCGTCTGATATTTTTCTAGCTGCTTTTTTAGCTATTTGTGTCTGATATTTGATGAATAAAGAATGTGTAAAAAGAAAGCGGGAAACCCGACACTACAGAATTTCTGGGGAACCCCCCCCCCATTGCAGATCCCCTCACCAGCTACACCCCTTCCTCGCTTTGCACCCTCCTTGAGGATAGAAAAGAGTATAGGAGTGTGTGTAGAGACTAGCCTATTGTAGAAAGACAAAATTTACATTCATTACTCTGCCTGCTTTTGCCTCTGTTACAGCGCACCACTGGCATGTTGTCCCTGGAAGCTTGCCCAGAAAATAATGCTGCCCACAGGCTGAAATGGGCTCCCCATTCCTGCTGTAAAGAATAAAAGCCAGGCTGTATTTACCTGGCTTGGAGTTGTAGGGTAGTTCTGAGCAACTGATAGAGTTGTCCCCTTTATGAGATAGTGATATCAGTTGCTAAAACCAATCCGCAGGAAGAACAGATGAAATCCTTCTTTTGTAGAATATTGCCCTTTGACTTCGGACCTCAGCAGTCTTTTGGAACATTTGCTTTTTAGATAACCTCTTTCTTTTAGATATTTTGCAATCTGCCTTTTTAAAACCTGTGTCAAGCCACCTGAATCGATTAACTGTTCTATCCAACTGTTTTATCCACAAGGCCGTCTTCTGTGAGCATGCACTTCAGGCATAGAAGGAATCACATGTTCCCAACTCCCTTGTAAAAGGGAATCACGTGTTCCCAACCCTTTGTTGTTCTCAGAGTCGAATATGTCGGACTCCAGTCAGCATACTGATGAAGAATCCATAGTACGCTCTCAGGAAAAAATAACTTTTATCTATGAGTCCCCTATGCTGTGAACTTTTAAGGTTCAGTTTCTAAGGTTCAGTTTCACTTGAGAGAACCTCCAGTAGAAAATTCTGCATCCTTCTGGGGCTACTCTGAGAGCCAAGCTACTGTGTGCTGCTTGTGTTAACTGGCCTCTTTTCTATATTGTGTGGTATGCTCCTTGTTGCTAGTTATTGGTCATATCGGCCAGCTGTTTGCAAATACTAAATTCTGAAGAATACTCCTTAGGCAAATCTTTAGGTGTAGATTGGGAAAGTGAGTTAGAAGAACTTTTTTGGGAGTGGGGACTGTTCCTTAAGAGGAGAGAGAGTGTGTTATTTCCAATGAGTGTTCCAGAATATGTGGGATACAGGCAGCTATAGGGATTTTTTTTTAAAAGTTGAAACCGGGGGGGGGGGGGAGAGACACCTCTACCACTTTGTCTAGTTGCCTATCCTGCTCCAAAACTTGGGGGAAATTTATCCTGCCTGTTTTCAAAGGGATTATGTTTTCAACTCTCTATCTTGTGCAGGGTTGAAAGAAGCTTGGCCGAAAATAGCGACCCAGCAATACAGTGGTACCTCGCAAGACGAACACCTCGCAAGACGGAAAACCCGCTAGACGAAAGGGTTTTCCGTTTTGGAGGCGCTTCGCAAAACGAATTTCCCTATGGGCTTGCTTCGCAAGACGACAGCCCATAGGGAAATCTCCGGGACAGCGGGGAAGCGCAGTGCATCTTCCCCACTGTCCTCGGACCTCCTCCGAAGCCTGGCGGCAAGGCGGGGACACCTCCTCCCGCCGCCGCCGGGCTTCGGAACGCCGGGCCCGGCGGCGGGAGGAGGTGTCCCCGCCTTGCCGCCGGGCTTCGGAACGATGCCCCGATGCCGGCGGCGGGGCAGGAACGCCTCCCCCCGCCGCCCGGCATCGGGACGATGCCCCGATGCCGGGCGGCGGAGCGGGAACCTCTCCCGCCGCCGCCGGGCTTCGGAACGATGCCCCGATGCCGGGCGGCAGGGCGGGAACCTCTCCCCCCGCCGCCCGGCATCAGGACGATGCCCCGATGCCGGGCGGCGGGGCGGGAACGTTGCTTGCGGAGAGGTCCGCGAAGCCTTGGCCGGACAGCTTTTGAAGGCAGGCGGGGGGGGGAGCGAAAGTCTTTGTCCCCCCTGCCTGCCTTTAAAAGCCCTCCCGGGAGAGCGGAGAAACGTGCTGCGTTTCTCCGCTCTCCCGGGAAGGCAGGCAGGGGGGAGCAAAGACTTTTGCCCCCCGCTGGCCTTCAGAAGAGGTCAAGGACCTCTTCTGAAGGCTGGCGGGGGGCAAAAGTCTTTGTCCCCCCTGCCGGCCTTCCCAGGGGCTTTTAAATCGCCCCGGACAGCGGAGAAGTCCTCCGCTGTCCCGGGGCGATTTTAAAATGCCGCCCGCCAGCATTTTAAGATCGCCCCGGACAGCGGAGAAGCCCTCTGCTGTCCCGGGGTTTTTTAAAATGCTGGGGGTGGGAAGAAAAGCCCTTGTCCCCCCCCCCAGCCTTCAGAAGAGGTCGGGGGACAGACTGTCCCCGGACCTGGTCTGAAGTCGGTTTCCATAGGAACGCATTAATTGATTTTCAATGCATTCCTATGGGAAACCGTGCATCGCAAGACGAAAAACTCGCAAGAAGAAAAAACTTGCGGAACTAATTAATTTCGTCTTGCGAGGCACCACTGTACTTTGAATGTGTGTTTTACATGCAAAGTATTGCTTTGCTGGTATTTTTGGCTAACCTTTCAGTGTTAAGGCTCTTGTAAAATTGACACTTGCGTAGATAAGAGAATATGGTCAGGTGCAGCTTTTCAAACTCCTGCCGCAGTGTGCCAAGGCAAACTACACTTTATGGATTAGCTTCTCTTCTTCCCCAATAACTTGTTTAAGGTACCGGAGCTATCTTTGACGTATTACAAAATTTGAGGTTCAATTCCATTGACTCCAGTCATAGGGTGTTAGGGAGCAGGATTGGCAAAGACTTACGCCTGAGACCCTGAAGTGCTGTTCCTAATTGCAGTAAATTATGTTGTGTTAGCCCTGGGGTTGTGAACCTGTGGCCCTCCAGATGTTGTTTGATTCCAGTTTCAGCCCCCGTGGCCAATGGTACCAGGGTGATGGGAATTGTTGTCCAACCACATCTGGGTGGCTATGGCTAAATCCCTGATTTAGCTGGACTATTGGCATAACTCTGCCAAAGGCAGTTGCTTGTATTCTAAAATGGTTGTGAACTTATAAACTATCCTTTATCTACTTGTTTCTTTCAGATACTATTGTGGATAAGTATAACCACTTATCCAAAGCAGTGAATGACCGGAATGAGAAACTTCAGATCACTCTGACACGTTCATTAAGCGTCCAGGATGGATTGGATGAAATGCTTGATTGGATGAATGGTGTTGAGAAGAGTCTTGAGGAGCAAGGTCAAGTGCCTTTGAATTCTTCTGTAATTCAGGATGTCATTAGTAAAAGTATGGTGAGTTAGTTTTTAGCAGAGCAAATTTTCCTCCTAATGCCAGGAACTTAAAGCTCAAAGTGGGGGCGGGAGAAATCAAGATACTGAAAATAAGTTTTCATTAATACATTCAGGTATCTGAAGAAAATTCAGTCTTAAAACAGCGTTTCATTAGAGTGCATCTAGACGGTGACTTTCTCTAGTGCGCATAGTGCATTTGTGGGTGAGATGCATGCTAATATTGTATGTTAGTGTGCCAGACAACCCATAAGTGCATGTCAGCTGTCCCAGTCTCTGTGCAGACTGCCACAAATCCAAATATACTACCAGGGTCAGCACAGGGGGCTGCACAAAACCATTGGTCATCACTTCTGCAGCTATTGAGTAATGACTACCTTTTCTAAGAATAGCAATAAACATATCTGTCTCTTTTAATTTCATATTTTTCCAATAAGTTCCGTTTGTTACATTTCTGCGTCAGTTCGATTTTTTTTAACAAAGTCATCACAACAGTTCATTAGCATTTTTGTGTGCCTTTCTCCTAAATGTACACATATATGTGTGCAATTTTGCCCGATATACACGTTTTTGTAGGCAATTTTTGCCTGTTAGGCAGTTTTGTGTGCTACATTCATTGAATTTTTATAAATATTTCATGCTAATGTACGCAGTTGTGTATAGTTTTTTTTAGTTTGAGAGCTGCATTGGTAAATTTGGAGACTTGCAAAGGATAGCTGTGCTTTTGCTTCACATATTCTTTCATGCTCACCTTTAAATGCAATTCAAGTTTCTTCCACATCTTTATCTTTGGGGTTCTTCCTCATTGCCACTTCTTGTTTGTGGATTCCATTGCTTCAGAAACTGACTACAGGAAGTGCAGTTATTTACATCAGCTTGCAATCACTTCATTCACATAGAGATGCATCCATGAGTATGGCTGTCTTCTCAGACTTATCTATTTATCCCAGGCTCTAGAACAAGACATTGTGGGTCGGCAAAGTAGCCTAAATGCCATGAAAGAAAAGTTGAACAAATTCATGGAAACAACAGACCCATCCACTGCATCCTCTTTACAAGCTAAAATGAATGAACTTTCTCAGCGGTTTTGTGAAGCAAATAATAAACACAGGAAAAAACTTGAAAAGTTGGAGGGATTGAAGACCAAAGTGGAGCTGTTTGAGTGCCTCACTGATAAACTCCAGTCATTCTTGGACAAGAAAACTCAGGCTCTCAGCGAGGCTGACATCCCAGGAAAAGACGTTACTGAGATGTCCTTATATGTGCAGGTACTGTAGATTTTTACTTTTGTGAGCCCTACATTGCCCCTTACTGAGCAAGCAGTACAATGGCTGGCGTAACTATGCCAGCCACAATTATAAGAGAACCTGCTGAGTCCAAGGAATAAATTTTGAACACTGTGCAGTGTGTTCAGGTGTGAAGCAATTACTTTCTTGTCCATTTTAAAGGAAACCAACACTGAACTGATGGAGCAGAAAAAAGATCTTGAAAATTCGCAACACCTCATTGAAGAACTCTCTCCTCATGCTCTTCCTGGAGACAGGTCATTAGTGTTAGAAAAAGTAAATGCCTTGTCAAAGAAATTCAAGGAAATGGAAGAGACTATACGAGAAAAGTGAGTACAATAATCAAATTTTAGAATAGTGTGTGCTGATGGTGGTGGTGGTGATGAAAATAATCAGGGTTGTCAATGAGTAAATAATTTCTGCTGATTATCTGTCTTGTGACTGATTTATTTTCACCTAATTACAATAGTTTCCATGTGCATATTTCAAACACTTCATTATAGGTGCCTTTTTGAGGTAACTTAGAATTTGATAAATAAAATATCCCACTCAATACTAGAAGTTAATCTTTAATACCCCCCCATAGTGTACAGCAGAATCAAAATAGGCTCAGCAAAGCATGCCTTGAACTTGTAATCTTGCCAATTCATCAGTCAACCAACCAACCAACCAACCAACCAACCAACCAACCAACCAACCAACTAAAGGGTTACCAATTACACATATTAAATGCTGCAACTATAAAAGTGAGAGTTCCAAATAATGTGATGCACAGACCTATAAGACGGTTGTGGTGTGTTTTGCAGTTTCATAAAGTGAAGGAGAAGTTACTGGCTTGTAACAATATTGCAGAATTAAGAAACACTCGTCATGCTAAGCCAAACCATAGCTTTGCATAGATGCACAAGTGTATGGGTTCTCTTCTCTAGGAGTCCACACAGTATGATAAGCAAATATGTGGCTCAGCATGGTGCAAGCAGCAAAAGAACTAGAAATGCTGAGCCATAGTTTGGTGCGGCATGTTTTCTGGAGAAAACTAAATCATGAGTCCAATTCTAGATGATATGATAAGCAAATATGTGGCTTAGCTCAGCATGGCGCAGGGAGGAGTGAAGTGGCTGGGATTTCATCTCCAGGAACTTGTGTGCACCAACCAGACAACAGTAAAAATACAGTAATAATATATAAGGAAATGCCACTAGTTGGTCCGAGATCTAAAGGGCCAGGTGTGATGGTTTGCATGTACATTGTGACAAGCCCCTGTTAGTCCATCAAGACTCTCACTTTGGAGCAGCATTTGAAATGTGAGATGTGGTATGAGGGGCTGTAGTCTGAAAGGAACACTTGCAACCCTTCTGTGCATAAATAGGAGTGCTTTCAGTCCCGGCTATACATACTGGTTGTTAATACAGCCCATATTATAGTTTTATCTAGAAGAAGGATTTGCCTACATTATCCCGAGAACAAGGAGACTATCTCTCCCATCTCCCTTCCTTATTTTCAATTTTGCAGAGAAGAGGATGTGTCCTCTTGCCAGAAGCAGATGGATGAGTTCAATCTTCATGTAGAATCTTTGAAGAAATGGGTAGATGAGATGACGGAAAGAATCCCAGCTATCCAGCCCTCTTTGAATGTGGAGAATTTAAACAAACATTTGCAGAACACCAAGGTGAGAGACTTCTTATCATTTCTGTCAATTTCATTACAGTGGTACCTCAGGTTAAGAACTTAATTCGTTCTGGAGGTCTGTTCTTAACCTGAAACTGTTCTTAAGCTGAAGCACCACTTTAGCCAATGCTGCCACTGTGCCACCGCTGCAAAATTTCTGTTCTCATCCTGAAGCAAAGTTCTTAACCCGAGGTAATATTTCTGGGTTAGTGGAGTCTGTAACCTGAAGCGTATGTAACCCGAGGTACCACTGTAATTGGATTTGTATGTCAGTTGATTTGTCAACTGATGGTGTCCTTTTGGTTTCAAAGAATTAAGTAGGAATGCTGTAGATCTTTTGAATGATATCTTTCGTTGGTATTCAACTGGGTTTTACTCAGTGTAGATCCATGGAAATTAATGACTAAGTTAGGTCCGTTATTTCAATGGGTGTACACCTAGTAAGACTTAGTTGACTACTGACCATAATGACACAGCTCCAAGGGACAGACGATGCACTTGCAAGAACTTAACAACTCACTTCAAAGCAAAAGACACCTCTGTGTGTGCAAAAGGATGTACGTTGTGAGGTTGCAAAGATAATATGGCATTAGTGGCATGGTTGAAAGAAATATGTATAAAATGTTTTAAAGAAATAAGGCTGGAAAAATTGAATAATATTATGTCAAATGTAAACTATATGACACAAAGGGATCAAGCTATAAGGATTATGTAAAAATGGATTTAAAAGGAAAGGAAAAATTGGAGACATAATGGCTTGAAAAGTATAATACAGAATAAGATTTGAAAGAAGGTAAATTACTGCTGAATATGAGTTTGTAAAAGGGAACACAGAAAAGGGGGGTGTGAGGAAGTCAGAAAAGAAGGTTATAAGAACAATAAGTAAAAAATTGGATTTTTATGTTTTTTTAATATCTTTTTCCTTTTTTTTCTTTTTACCTTGTTTGTATTTTCTATTGTATTTTTCTGTTTTTGTGTGATTGTGATGTTGTGTTTTTTCTTCGGTTGATTGTGAAGTTTGTATTTTTTACTCAAAACTTTAATAAATATATTTAAAAAAACAAAAACAAAAGGATGTACGTTGTGCAGCTGCACACATTAGTGAATAGGGAAATTCTTGCAAGTGTGGAGAACTTGGCTTGCAACTAATTGCTAGACTGAGACAGACACCTTTTGTCCCATTTTTAGCTATGTTTCAACACAAACTATTTCTGTATATGATTCATTTTTATAATAAAAAACTGGGCATGGTTTAAATACGAGTAAAGTACTTGCATTATTTTGGTACCAGTCCATCTTCCCAGCCCTATTTCGTTCGAGAGTTCTGCTATCTCACTTTTAAAAAAATGTTCACTCCAGTTTTTGGGTCTTAAATGAGAAATGGCAGGGCACAGTTTGATGATAAAGCAAGTGGGATGTGTGACATGATGAGATAATTCCTGGCCATGTCCAGCCCATCTAGAGTGGAATGCTTTTTGTTACGCTTACAAATATAGTCAGTAGTTGAAAATAACATCTTGTTCATTTCTTAGCATTTGGAGGAGGAATGGAGTTCGAAGGCACCTGACATTCAGAAAATGATTAGCAGAGGAACAGCATTGTGCAACCTAATTAGTGCTGTGACTTCCCCTGCAAGGTCAAGGGGAGTAAAATCAGGTATGTTCAATGGACATTTCTATGTATTTAAAAGTACACGTGAACGAAATTAAATAGAAATTAAATAGCTAACACAGAATACACACACACACTATATATATATATATATATATATATATATATATATATATATATAAAATGTCTTTATTAGCTCCCTAGATCAATCCTGTGTAATTGAGGAAACTTTATGCCAGATTGCTTTATAGACATGAATTTTAAGGTACATTAGGTCACAGGTGGTATAAGAAAAGTCTGAGCCACTGGTACACAGCTTGAACCCATGACCCTGAGATTCAGAGTTTCATGCTGTACCGACTGAGCTATTTCAGTTTAGAAAAATACTTCTCTCTGTCACTCAATAGCATTTTTCTGTCTTCTTCACACAAGGTCCCTATCACTCGATTGTTCTTTCTTCTTGCTTCGAACATACCTGAATAAGCTTTTAAAGTTATTTTTAACCTCTCTTGCAAACCTGACTTCATTCTGAGCTTTGGCCTGCCTGACCTCCTCGCAACTGTTGGATACTTGTATCTACCCTTCCTTTGTGATTTCTCCTCTCTTCCATTTATAATACATTCCCTTCTTACATCTCAGCTAATCCGTCAGCTCCTTATGCAGCCAAACCAGTTTCTTTGGCTACCTCCTGCTTTTCTTTCTTGTTGGAATTGTCAGCATTTGGGCCTTTAATATTTCCCCTATAATAAACTCCCATCTATCTGGGGCTCACTTATCTTTTGAGTATTTCTGACCATGGGATTTCTCCCAGTAGCTCCTTAAACTTTTTGAAATTGAGCTTCTTAAAGTCCAGAGTGCATCTCTTGACTACACTCAGCTTTCCCTTCTCCTCTGTATCATGAAACCAGGAGGGCATGATCACTTCCTCTCAAGTTTCTGAGTATTTCCACCTTGTCGATCAGTTCCTCCCTGTTGGTGAGGACCAGGTCCAATATAGATGACCCCCTTGTTGCTTCTTCTACCTTTTGGGAAATGAAATTATCAGAGAGCCAATTGTGGAATTTGTTGGACCTTAAATTCTTGGCAGAGTTTGAGTTCCAACAGATATTGGGGTAGTTGAAGTCTCCCATGACTACTATATCTTTCCTTTTTGAATGTTTGCTAATCTGCTCTAGGAAGGCTTCATTCAAGTCTTCAGTCCAAGGTCACTGTTGTTCCTTCTCCTACCATTTTTACCCATATAGTCTCATGGATCTCTTCACAAGTGTACACATCTTTTACATGTAATGCTATTTCTCCCCCCTTCCTGTTTGATCTATTCCTTTTGAATGAGTCATACCCCTCAATTCCTTCATTCCAGTCTCATTCCACCAGCTTCCAGTAATGCCTATTAGATAATATTTGCCATCCTGTATTCAGAGCTCAAGTTTTTCTTGCTTGTTTCCCGTACTCTGTGCATTTGTATAGAGACAACTGAAACCATGAGTCATTTTTTGGCACACTACTGCCTCTGTCCTCTGTAGAAAGTCACCTGCTACCACCACACATCTCTCCCTTCTTTGGGGAGGAGCATGAATTGTTTTGTACGCTGTACCTTCTACTACCACCTCAGTGTGTTCTGAGGTCTGCAGCCACTGTACTTGCTCCTCTGGCTGAGAATTTCCAAACCTCTTCATCTTATGATGAAAATTCTGCCTCCAGTCCCATTTTAGAGTGTTCCCAGATGCTAGCTTTCCATGCTCCTGAATCAGGTCTCAATGCACAGTTCAGAGTTCAGGCAGTGTGCTGTGAAAACACAGGTAACATGAGTACCATATGACCCATGCAGGTTGTGCCACTTCCTGCTAGCTGTATGGGTTATCGGAACAGCGTAGACTGAAAACCTCGGTTTGTGTGCACTTTGGAGATCAGATCCTCTTTTTCAAAAAGAAGTGTAGCTTATCCTCCTAAATCAGAGCAATTTCCATTTTTTAGTATGGACTAATGAATCCAGCAGCAAAGGGCAAGTAAATTCAGGGCAAGTACTGCTCTAATTTAGAAAATTTATATGCTGCTTGTTCAGAAATAAAAATAAAAAAGCAAATCATGTGTCTGGAGAGGCTTCCTACAACAGAAAAGTTTTCAGTAGGTACATAAAACAGTATTGTGAAGGAACCTGCTTAATGCCAACAGACAGAGAGTTTCAGAAGACAGGTGCTGCTATGCTAAAGGAATGACTTCTCTCAAATGTCGAATGAACACTGTATGGCACTTGTAAATGTGAAGTAAGCAAATAGGCACATTTGATGTAGGGCAATTCTTTAAGTATATTGGTCCCAAGTTGTTAATAATTACAGACAGTAATTTTTAGTATTCGTACCAACAGAACTTTGTGTACTTGAAATAATGTTATTTTAAAAGGGTGAAATATCTGTTCAGAATTTGCTTACTACATGTGTTAATCATTTCTTTATTGGGTTCATTATGAGTGAGTTCAAGTACCCTGAGTTTTGTGCCAATGATAAATGTTTCCCTCATGGGAAATATAGAAAAGTCTCGATATCTTAGTATGTGACCATCTCACTTACTTGGCTGACTTAGTTGCTCTCACCATTTCCCAGCTGCTATTAGGCTAGCACTCACTTTCCAGCTGGTGGTGAGGGGTGAATGCTTGGCCTTCTCCAAGGCAACCATTAATTCTACTCCATTAAATAATCATCTTCAGGCTCTCTACTTACATAGACATACAGTAGATTCTACTTAGCGCTCTTATTCCCTTCATAAATAATGGGTACTCATGAAATTGCCTGTGGAACAGCTAAAAGGGGGGCAGGGTTTCTGAAGTTAATTTCACAGTGTGGAAAATCTGTAAACAGAAAACAAAGTTTTACACCAAAAATTTAACTTTGGAAACCCTCTCATTCCGCATTTTGTCTGTTCTAAATCAGTGTACCACAAATGTTTTGGGGCCCTTGTTCCACAATGCATGGAATCACAGAACTGCAAAGCGTGTTCTCCTTCATGGAGAGCATGTGTTGCGGTGGGGGCCGCCAGGACACTCCAAAGTTGGGGGCGGGCTAACTGATCGTTGGCCACTGATGCGATTGGGGCTTCCCTTGTTGCTGGGAAGAAATTAATGTTGCCATTTATTGATTGACAGCCAGAAATGCTAAAACTCCTTGCACGAGGCTAGGGCTTCCTCTTTTCGCCCGTGCAGCGGATTGCCCGTCCCTCCCTCCCTAGAATAGGGTTGTTCGCTTTGACCTTGCTATGCCTGTCATGGGGTCGTCTGCTTTGGAGCGGGGGCCTGGTAGGAATTTTGTCCATCTGGCTGATTGGCTGGGGCCATTTGGTTTTTGCCTACTGCGTAGCAAATCGTCACAACTTGTAAGGTTGTGGTTAGGCATTGGTTTATGGTTTGGTTGGTTGAGGGGCATGGATTGGCTGTGCCTGCCCCTCTAATGCTGCTGCTGCAAGGGATTCCGTTAAAGGAATTGGGGGCTAACTATTGCTTGTCCACTCTGTCAAGGGGGCTCGGGCCATAGCAATGAGCTCCTGGTTGCATTTGGGGTGAGGGCAGATTCCCTGCTCCGCGTAACCCCCAAGTGTATTCCCCCATTCTGACTTTCGCATTGTGCGGAATGTCAGTCTGTCCCCCATGGTGGGGGCAGATAGTCGCAACCAATGCCTAAGCAACCACTCACAAATTTGTATTTTAATAAAGTTGTGGCCAAAATTATGCCAAAAACCTTAAACAAAAATTCTGTGTGATGTGTGTTATTGGGGTGGACCTGGGGACCTCGACACGCAACTACATGGAATATTGTGAGCTGATGACTTAAGGCATGTTTCATTCAAGATTTTAGACATGGGTACTGATAACAGCTCAGAACAAGTTCTGTATATACCAATTCAGTTATGCTGGGTACAAATATGTATTATATTTTGCTTTAAAATGTTTAGAACAGGCAATCTGCAATCAGAGAGTGATTGGGCTCCAAATTCCAAGCTGCAAATAATGGATACATGTGGCTTTCACAATTAGTCTGCAGCAGTGTTATTTTATGCTTAGGCAGCTTCTCACAGAAGGCTTTGTACACATGTATTTCTGCCGAAGTTATAATGTCATGATGATATTAGCATGTATCTTTATGTTTACAGTTATGACAGCACTTGGGTTGAGCTGTTTTGGGACTGATTTTGTAAAAATATCCTAAAAATTTTGTTGTTATGAAAATCCCACTTATAACTAGTCTACTCTTAAACCACTAAGACCAGTGTGACACACATAATAGTCTTAGACCTTGGTTTTACATTATTGTTGAAAATCTCTCTCTCAATATGCAGTATACAAATATTTTTATAAATAAGAATAAAAAAAAGAATTGGCTTCAACACACTGCTTATCCATTAACTCACTGGGTGCTTTAGGCAAGTCATGCTATGACTGCATTCACATGTCACACTAAACCATAATTTACCATAACATAAATGAGCCTAGGTGAGCCTTGTTCTCACATGCTCCCCTTTCTCCACAATTTATTGTATTGTCTGGACCTAAACATTTGGTTAGCATTAACTATGAGTGATGGTATCTGAACATTACCCCCCATGGAGCAAATAGCATCTTCAATGGGGGTGATTTTCATGGGGAAAATGGCACTGGGGAAAGGGTTAAACCATTACTTCCTAGCACCATGATTCCAGTGAGACACACACATCTCTGAGGCTGTTCTTCTAAAATGCAGTGGGAGAGCTGTTCACCTGCCTATGCTACATCTAGTTTGGCCCTTAAATTGGTTTGAAATGGGATCAAATACTTCCATAGTGTCTGAACAATGAGGGAAGAACCCAACATTGCATTATGGTGATTGTTCCATCAGGGCAAGCTTGCCAGATGGAATGATCCCTCCTCTCCCCTGCTTACTGTTCCAGGGGTTCTCTTGACCTGCCCTGAGCCAGTTGGGGAACATGTGTGGGGGAGACTCCATAATGCAAGTGGAAGTCCTTGCTCGGGGCTTCTGCTGACTGAATTCATTAGTTGAATCCTGCTCTAAATCTCTAATCTCTCTCTTTCAGCTGTAAGCGGAACAGTATTAAATGGTGAAGGAGCAGCTACAGGTACCCAGGGATTCCTAACAAACAAAGGTGACTAATAATGGCTCACTTAAATACATAAATCTTGTGAGCAAGCATAAGATGTTTATAATTTGTCCCATTTTAATAGAATTTTCTAAATAACAGTCAAGACCCCCTATTTAGCTGGAGTCTTCTACACTTTGACATATATATATGTATATGTATATGCATGCATCCGGTTAATTCAACTTCTGTCTGGTTTCAGTGGGTGAACTAGTGATTGTGGTTAATTGAGAGCCAAGACAAGATTCTTGGCTTTTTAATCCATTAAGAAGTAATCATGAGTAGCAACAGTAGCAAGGTTGTTATCTCTAGTAGGTGGAGTTCACTGTTTTTAAGAAGTGACTTGACTATCAAGTGACCCAAGATAACATATGAATATAAGAAGCTGCTTATACTGGAGAGCCAAAGTAGATGTGACACTGGAGATATGTGGAGTCTCTCACACCATTCATTAGAACTTTACTTCATCTAAAAGGGAGGAGGGAAGCAACTGGGGCAGCGGGGGGTGATGTTCATTGAAAAAAGACAGATCCCCCTTTTCCCACTTAACTATTCCAGTCCAATTTGGAGTTCCACAGCTGCCCTTAAGGGGAAAATAAAATTAGAAGACACTCCATTTATCTCCCATTTTGCCTCTACTTTGGCCTTGAGAACCATCCAAACAGGGGTGGAACTCAGAAAGGCCCCAAACAGACTAACCTCTTATATTATTGTGTTTGGCCTGCCCAGCTGTTATCATCCTGAGCCTCATTCTTGAATCCTTTGCATGTGTTAACAGAAAACAGCAGAAGTATATATTTAAAATTAACAGGCATGGTTTTTAAGGTTTATTTTAATCAAAAATTAGCATGCACACATCGTACTATAGCAGGCTCTAGAACACTTCAGTTTTCCTAAGAAATCAGATGTTGAAATTAGGATGGTGATAACTAGCTGTGTTCCAACACCCTTAAATTAGAAACCAAAATAATGCTTGTCTTCATGCAGGATTTTCTTTCAGAAGTCCTTATACAATACAGTATTTCTGTACAAAAAAAATAAAAAATCCACTGTCATCAGCCTGGTGAATGGTTCATTCTTTCTTAATCTACTAATATTGGGGTATCAACTTTGTAGGAAAGAAATGACTGTAACCAATTATTCTAGTTATTATTTCATGGAAGGATTAAAAACTTTTAATGTATAATCTTTGCATCCTTTCTTGCTGTCACGACTAGTAAAAAATAATAATAATAACAATGTATGTCCACCTCTCTTGCAGAAGTGACCACTGTCCAACACAACATGTCAACTGTAAGCCATAGTTATGATGATTTGGGAGCTGTGCTGAAGGAAAAAATATCAGAACTGGAATCCACTCTTTCAAATATGCAAAACATTCAAAGAGAATCAAATTCAATGATGGAATGGTTACAGAATATGGACACTGCTGCAGCCAAATGGGAAGCAACTCTTATTGACAGTGAGGCTGTTAAAGAGCAAGTCGATCAACACAAGGTAGTTTCTGTCTCCCCCTCTGTTCAAAACTATCAATTAAGCATAATTAATTTTTAAAGTGAGCTTCCTGTTCATATTAATGGACAGGGTCTGTTTAATAATGTATGTAACAGTGCAACCATATATTAGCACTTTGTATTGACGCCTTATGGAAATACAATAAAAAACATCTTATCAGGCATAGGATCAGAAGTCAGATTGCATACCTGTGATAAAATGTATCAGAGCTGCCTAAACAGATTAAGAGATCATCTCAATGAAACACTGCTTCTGCCAAACACTTTGTTTTTTATGTATTCTCCTCTAACATGTTCATTCTTCATAGCTATTTGAAACAGAATTGAAACAGAATGAGAATAAAGTGCAAGAACTGAAGGATAGAGTGACAGAGCTATTGGAGAAGAACCCAGACTCTCCTGAGGCACCGAAATGGAAACAGATGTTGGATAAAATAGGTATGGCAGGTTTTATTTTGCAGTGTAGGAGAGGGTCAATGATCTAACATTTGGCAAAACAAAACATAGATTGAATGTCTGCGATCTTTGGAGAGAAGGATTGCACCTCATCCACATGACATACTAGAAAACTCTTCTGGACATGCTTTTGTTCATACATGACTACTGGATTATGAGGTTTGGTCTATCCTATCAGATCTTATATTTTAAAAGGCATTGGCCAGAGCCACATGTCAGGATAAAACAGCTCATGGGAACTATCATCCATGGCTTAACATTGCATCCAACCCAGGGATTTTGGTTTGCTTAACTCAAACAAACCACAATTCGGAAGTCAAGCATAAACCTTGGATTTTCATTGTGGTTTGGACTGAAACAAACGCACCACCCCTGGTTTTTATATAATATTAAGCCAGGGCTTGTGGTTTGTTCCTCCCACTTGCGAAATCAGAATCCCCAGCTTGGCATTTGAAAAAAAGCTCCACTGTTTGTTTGCCAAAGCTTGTTCTCGGTTTCTTGATTGTGGCCTGTGTGAGCAAACCAAACCAAGACCCCCAGGTTGGGTGTAAAGCTAAGCCCAGGGATCATGGTTTGTTCCTCCCCCTTGTTCTAGTAGAGAAGTACAGCGGGAACCATCTGCATGTCCACAGCAAAGCACTGCCATTCTTTATTTGTTTGACAATTTCATGTGAAATTACTACGATTATCATGCAGTTTTACAAAATATTCCATTCATTTTTTCACAGATTCCAAATGGAGGGAACTCAGCCAGGTAACAGCTGACAGACAGAAAAAACTGGAAGAGTCATCAAATTACCTGACCCAGTTCCAGGCAACCGAGGCTCAGTTGAAACAGTGGCTGGTAGAAAAAGAATTAATGGTCAGCGTGCTTGGACCACTGTCAATTGACCCAAATATGTTGAACACGCAGAAGCAGCAAGTTCAGGTGAGCATTTGGTCCCATTGCATATTATCTGTAGAAAGATGCTTGTGCTTCTTGGATTGAAAACACTGCTATTGTGGACCCATCACCAATGTGGTTTATCCTTTTTTTGGCGGAGTGTAGTTCTGAAAACAAATATGAAGGCACCAAACAACAATCAGTTTTCTAAAAAAAAAAAAAGGAACTAATAATGTTAATAATGACAAAAAGGGGCTTCTGTGTGGCGAGAGAAGTGCAGCAAGAGGTTAAAGTTTTCAGCAGGGGAAAATGAATGGCAGCGCCTTTCTTCTATGACCCTGTGCATATATAAACAAGTATCAATCACACGTGAATTACAAAATATTCCACACTCAGGACTAGTATAGATATTGGAAAGGAAATATGGGGTCTCACTGTCATCTTTCCCTCCTAATGGTGTTGCATGGTATGTGATGACACTTGGAAGTGCAGTAGGAGGTGCTTAATCTTTTGCCCACTCACTGATTCTTCCTTCCAAATACTCCCACATATAATTTCCCCCTTCAGCACACACAGGCTTCCAAAATCAGGAGTGAGCTTTGACTGGGGGGAAAAACAACCTGGATTTGTTTGGTTTTTGCAGGGGAGAATGAGGACATGTGGGAGAGGTTGAGCACCCCTACCCACCAAGTACCCACCCCTACCCACTTCCCATTATTTTGACAGACATGCGACTGGAAGCACTCATTTGATGGTCTTCTGCTCTTAGAACTGTCTTCTAAGAAGTTTTCTTCCGCTTTTAGAAGTCAAGCGGGAAAGCTAATGACTAGACATAGTAAACCCTTGGAGCAGTGGGCTGTAGGGGCTTGTTTGGCCCTCAACATTCATGGTTCCATAAATTGCAGTGAAACGAACATGTGCACTTTAATTGAGAAGTATTGTTTGAGATGATGTCTGATGTGATAAAAACCACGGTATTTGATCTGTGGAGACTGCTTCATCCACACGTGTCAATGCTCAGGTTGATTGATTTAATATGTGTCTCAAAGCAGGAGATTAGGTCATGCAAATCAGATGTTTTCCAAGGTGCCTCTTTATCCTTAGTGATAGTATATGCATGGTGGAGTTGACGCAGGGTGCACCTGCTCTTCCACATCATGGGTTGCAGTACTGGATCAGCAGGTTGTCTGAACCAGACGTAAGGGATAAATATGAATATATTAACCTACCTTAAAGCGATATTGGCAGAATGCCTTTTATTTTTACGACCAAGAGCTATTTCATGTACTCATCAGCCTAGGATGCTACACTAGGTAAATGGCTAGTCCAGTTTGTGATATCTGTGTTTCCTTACGCTTTCCTGAAATTACTTTCTCTCATCAGATTCTGCTCAATGAGTTTGACACTCGAAAACCCCAATATGAGCAGCTGAATACAGCAGGACAAGCGATAATGAAGAGACCAGGTGAACACCCACCTTCTCACGAAATGGTGAAGCAGCAACTGGCCGCTGTGGCGCAGAAATGGGATGGCTTAACCGGACAGCTGAGTGACCGATGCAACCGAATCGACCAAGCCATTGTCAAAAGCACAGAATATCAAAGCTGCCTGAAAAGCCTTTCTGAGAAGCTTAGTGTCTTGGATGATAAACTCAACAGCAGCCTGGCTATAAGTACAGACCCTGATTCTGTGAAGCGGCAGCTGGAAGTGGCCAGAGAAGTGAAAGAAGAAATTGAACGGGAAATGCCAAAGAGAAAGGCTGCTCAAGCTCTGTGCGAGGAATTGTCTGCACTGGTGGCAGAAGATTACTTGAAAGCTGAGCTAGCTAGGCAATTGGATGGCATCTTAAAACCCTTTCACGATATGGAACAAAAAGCAGGTTTGTTAACATCATCATCATCATTTTTTATTTGTATGCCACCTTTCCACAGTTAAAAAAACAATGCTCAAGGGGGCTTACAGCATGACAAGATTTACATAATTACAAAAGTCATAAACAAATAAATATACCACATCAAATGAGATGAGATGATATTGAGGGCCTAGATTCTATGAATGGGTGGGTGAGAATAGCTGCATATTTCTAGACTGTGCCAGTTGTTTGAATCTTTTAAGATATCAAATGACATGTGATTGACAGTAGATTGTATATGTGTTTACCAGTGAGGGATTCACACATTGTAAATTAATGCTTCTATGTGAAATTTATGTAGGGAAAATACATGTATTTCTCCAACATTTATGTATTTGTCTTGACCATGCTACAGTTTCAGACAGTCTTAGGGTTCATCCACACTTCTATATGCCCTGCCGCTTTCCCTGGAGAAATTGGTGGTTTAGTGCTGAATCAGAACACACGGCAAAACCTGATTGCCATTTGTTCCATTTAGCACTAAAGGGTGGGTTTTCCAGGGAAAAGTGACAGGGCAAAGCTGCTTGGATCCATGCTTTCCAGGCCTGGAAACTGAATTAGCTAGGCAAGCAGAAAACTGCTTGGACCCGTGCTTTCTAGGCACAGGACAAGAATGGATGAGCCCTTACTTTGGGGGTGGGGGTGTTTTAGACTCAACAAGGGAGTCCCAACAGGAGTTCTGTAAAGTTGTAACAGGACTGGCAGTGATCTTTGGAAGCATTTTATCTCAATGACTGTTGAGGGATTACTGCAAGCTTTACTGTTCATAGTGCATGTCGTTTATGTTTATGATGTTTATAGTGGCACTAGTGATCATACTATCCTGATTACCTGATTAGTTCCCCACCCTCAAGAATCCCTTGTTGTCAAGGGATTATTATTATCAAGGGGTTATTATTTTAGGCTGCAATACTATTATTTCCCAAGCTGGTGGTCTGCAATAAACACTTCAGCTAACATGCTCCAATCTAAAATGGCAATAGGGTGCATTTTCCTATAACATAATGTTTCTCCTTGATTGAAATAACATCAACCAAAATCCTAGTTAGAAGCCACTCAGAGACATGGATTTTAAGAACTTTTGTTTGTTTGCAGGCAATCACATTGAGCAACTTCAGTCAACTTACGTTAGTTCTCATCAGTTCCAGCAAATGTCTAAGGACTTTCAGGCCTGGTTGGACAAAAAGAAGGAAGAACAGAATCAGCCTTGTCCCATCTCTACCAAGCTGGAGTCTCTGTGGACATTAATTGATGATCAGAAAGAGTTCAAGGCTGCCTTGTCTGACCAGACTGGCTCTTATGAAAAAATCATTACAGAAGGTGAAAGTTTACTCCAGAAGACTCAGGGAGCGGAGAAGGCCGAGCTGCAGGCCCAACTGAACTTGCTCAGAGGTAACTGGGATGAAATGAACAAGCAAGTTAAAGAAAGGCAAGATAAATTAAATGATTGTTTGGAAAAAGCCCTTAGATACAGAGAGCATGTAGAAAACCTACAACCCTGGATAGCGAAATGCCAAAGCAATATCTCTCAAATAGAAATGAGCATAGATCCTGCTCGGCTAGAGAATTCCATCGCTCAGGTGAAGAGCTGGCAGAAGGACCTAGACAAACACCAAGGGTTGGTGGAGCTATTAAGTAATGCAGCTGAGACATTACTCAGTGCCTGTCAGACAGACAAAGACATTATTGAAGAGGAGAAGACACTGCTGATCCAGAACATGGATATAGTCACAGAACAACTGCATGCTAAGAGAGATGGTCTGGAAAAGATGTCTCAGAGACTGAAAGAGTTTCAAGAGTCATCAAAGGATGTTGAAGAGCAGCTGAAGAATGCCAGAGAGCAGCTGGAAACACACAATTCTCTCAAACCCCAGACTTACAGTAACAAACACTTGACGATTATGCAGGCTCAGCAGAAAACACTCCAGGCCGTGAAGGCTCAAGTGGACCTTACAAAAAAGCTTGCCCAAGAACTGGTGGCAGATGCTTCAGATTCATCAGGTGCCTCTGACCTCTTGTTGCAGGCAGAAACGTTAGAAGAAGAATTCAGCACCATCAGTCAGCAGGTTGAAGATAAATGTTCATTCCTGGAGACTAAACTCCAGGGAATTGGCCATTTCCAAAACAGCATCCGAGAGATGTTTTCTCAGTTTGCAGAGTTCGACGATGAATTGGACAGCATGGATTCTGTGGGTAGGGATCTTGTCACACTGCAGTCACAGCGAAAGGATATAAAAACTTTCCTGAAAAAGTTGGAGGAACTCATAACCAGTAATGAAAATGCAAATAATACCTGCAAAATGATGCTCGCAAATGAAGCTGAAGCCTCTCCAGATCTTGCAGGTATAAAACGGGACTTGGAGGCTTTAAATAAGCAGTGCAACAAGTTGCTAGACAGAGCAAAAGCCAGAGATGAACAGATTGAAGGGACTATTAGCCGCGTTGAAGAGTTCTACAGTAAACTAAAGGGGTTTTCTAAACTGCTTGGGGAAGTTGAAGAGCATGAAGAGTCCCAAGGTTCTGTTGGAATGGAAATTGAGACGATAAATCAGCAGCTGAACGTATTTAAGGTAAGAAGGACCTTTCTGAGTTTTTAGAATTCTGTATTGTAAAATGAAAACTAACTGTAAGAATATTGTGACGTGAGCTCCTTAGTAGTCTAAACCCCCAAGGAAAAGTGATTGGGTTGGCCCTCCTTTTTCAGCTTATAGATCATGTCTTGTAAGCCAGTCAGTTTCTTAAGAATTGTGTTCAAAGTCATTTTTCATGTTTCCCAACAGAGGGTGCTTTTTGCCTATTTTAAGAGTGAGATCTAACATAACATACATTCCACCCAATGCATTCCCGTCTTGAGATCTAAAGCTTTATTAATAAGCAAGTTTTGTTTGTTTGTTTGTTTATGAATTCAAATGCCTCCTCTAATTTCAACGGAGAAACGGAATTGCTGCAAAATAGTTACATCATAACATTTTTATTTGCCTTGTAATGAATAAGACTTGAGTTGTCCAACAGGAAGTGATCTCACATGCTCCTTTGGTTTGGGGGTCCTTGGGATTTACAAGTAATTTGTGGGTTGTGGTCTGAAGTTGTATGAAGTGTTCTCAGCTCAGTGTTCTCATGAAGCAATTTAGAAACTGAGAAGACGGTCTTCTCTTTGGTCAAAAGTTATTAGAGAAGCATTCTTAAGTTGTTTTAAAACAGAATGTCCTGCATTTTGCTTTGAAGATCTCCAGCAAAGCTGAGCTTCTTGGGTTCTCCTCTCCTCCCCTCTCCCACAGCTGTCATGATTAATGGTAATTTTTAAATGGTAATTTAGTGCAAATACACTAAATCATGCTTCCATTCAAGCACGCAGAAGGGTTGTCAACTGCAGCTTTTGTTATTCAGAGCAAACTTTCCCAAACTTGGATCTCCAGCTATTGTTAAACTACAATTCCTATCATCCCTGACCACCAGTCCTGCTAGCTAGAGATGATGGGAATTATAGTCCAACAACAGCTAGAGACCCAAGTTTGGGAAACACTGCCTTAGAGCTTAACTAACACCGTTCAATTTACTTAAAAAGTTGGGATTCTTTAAGAATCTTTATATTTCCTTTGCTTCCCATTGTTACTATACTGCCCGGCTGAGGAGGCTCAGTGCTTCTGTGGCAGGAGAGCCTTCTCATGAACAGATTGCTGGATAGAATGAGGGCAGAAGCAGCCCTGAACTTTCCCCACCTCCACACCCATTCAGAATATAGCCATAATCTTTCCCAGAGAGCAAGACAAAGCACAATGAACACAGCCTCCAGCATCCCACGCCCCAGAGGCATTGCACAGGCATGCAGGAAGAAATAGATCCTGCTCTGAGTAGTGTGTTCATATCAAACAATTCCAAATAAAAGACAATGGGGAGAGGAACTGAAGAAGCTGCAATTCAACTGTCCTCTCTGACAGCTGGTGCTTATATATGTATTTGCGGCAGATATTTATTTCATTTACTACGTGCACCATATGAAGAGCCAGCCCTCCTGTGACAGAGTGAAGGTGAGGTCAAACAGAGTCCTGGGCGAGGTCCAAAAAGGCTGAGATTAGCTTTCATTCCTGGGGATTGTCCCAAGAGTCATGCAGCCAAGAGGTTTCATCCAAACCTGGTTCTCAGGATCAAGAAAAGTACTGATCAATTAGTCAGGGCAAAACAAAGAAGTGTGGAGGTGAGCTAAGGCAAAGGCAACAGGCCATTGGCTGTGCATTTGTTCTGCTGAAGCATAGTTCTGGTTTCTGTCTTGTAACCCCGGCCCTCATCCAAGAAAGCTGTCTGGCAGAATTTATTTTAATATCCAGTGTGCCTAAGATAAACTCAGTGGCTGAAAGCAAAAGAAACAATCCTGCCTTGGGCACTAGGTGCTAACTTCCATTCCATAATGAACTTTCATCTCCTAAGATGGCACAGAAGGGAAGCACAGCACTAGGTCCTCTTGCCTGCTAAACACCAGAATAAGCAGAATAAAGGCATATAAAGGCCTGAGCAAATGAAACATTATTTACCTGGCATACAAAGAATAACAGAATGAGCCCTTCTGAACCAAAGATAGGGCTCCCCTGATGAAAAAGCCCTGTTTCAGGTTATCAGACAATAGTACCTGAAGAGATATAACAGTGGGCAGTGGAAGCAACCACTTTTTAAGGTACACTTGCTTCCAAGATGGGTTTTTTAAACTTGAAAGTCATAAAAAGTACTTAAAGGATTGCTTTTTCCTGTGTATTTCCTTCAGTGTGACCAAGCAACGTCAGAGGTCTTGCTTTGCACCTCCCCAACAGCAGATATGCAGTGGGTGAGAACAATGCACAGGGCAATATCAGTTAGGGCACCAGTGCTCTGGACTGCCCTCCCCAGGAAAGCATGTCTGGACCCACCATTGTGTACATTTCACAAGCTCTTTAAGAGCTCTTTTGCAAACCCTTTGACTGAGGGTAGCTGATGGCTGTTAGCAGATCTCTCTGCTACTGTGATGATAGTGGTTGTGCTACTACCATTTGTTTTTCTGTATTGTTTTACTGGCCTTTTTTTAAAAAAAGAAATGTGACAGGCTTTCCTTGCCATATAACAATGCAAGGTATCCCCCAGATAAATATGGGATGAACAGGCGTTTGAGAATTTCCTCTGTCTTTCTCCAGCACATCCTTGAAAGGGCATCAATGATATCCCTGAGGAGCTGTAGTCTGTGCAATCTACTGGCCTGTTCAGGCTTTCTTTTTGTAATTTGCAGTAAGAATTGGAACAATTCTGTTATCTTTTTGGGTAAAGTTTGTAATTATTACTTCATTTTATAAAGTATATGGATCAGTTAGAACAAGAGACAAAAAATAAAAGATGAAAAACAAAACTATAAAATAGTAATGTAGAATGAGTTAAAATAACAAAGTAAAGACTTTCAACTTTACCAGATCATCTATAGTTGCAGATTTGCCAGGTTGTCTTGAAAATTATGGTCCCGCTGTATATGTCATAAAGCAATGCCAAATCATATCAAAAGTGTAAGATTTGGGCTGTTTTCTATTGAGTTGCAATTACTATTCATGCTGTCAAGATCATATATAAGACTAGTTCTTTTGACAATATATATTTACATTGGTATCATCAAAAATATTCAGTAACATTAATTTTGGACAACAAACAATATTTTCTTTAGTGATATTTATCATTTCTCTCAAAATTAAATTAAATTTTGCACCAACTGACATTCCCGCTATAAATGATAATATGTGCCAAGTTTATTGCAAACCCTCTAACAGTCAGGTGATATAGAATAAAATATTTTTGACATTTGCAAAGGCTTGCAACACCATCTGTGTAACATTTTTAAATTTTCCCTAAGGAAACCAGAAACAGATTTTTAGGGTCATGATGCCCAAGTTTTATTCCAGTCCTTGGGAATAATTTGTGTGCCAATATCCAGTTCCCATATCTTTTTAAGGGGTGGCATAGATCCATAAGTTACATTGAGCAACGTAGAGTACAGTTTAGAAACTAATCCTTTCTCCCCTCTACCCATTGTGCTTAATAATTTTTCAGATGCTGTTAAGGGTCTTAGAGCTTGTGTTTTTACATGTTCTTTTTAAAATAAAACTATGAAATTAATTAAAATAAACCCAGTTTGTGTTAAGTTAAGTCTTCTTTCTCTCTGACAGTTTTCACATTTTTTTCTTAATTTCACAAGTAAACGCTGCACTTTTTTGGTTTAGACTGCAACAAGCTCTTTCTGTGTCTGATTATGTTTTGGGAACTTCTGACTCGGAGAACTGGTGTTTCAATACGTGCGTGTGTATTGGGGTAAGGTAAAGGTAAAGGTACCCCTGCCCATACGGGCCAGTCTTGACAGACTCTAGGGTTGTGCGCCCATCTCACTCTATAGGCCGGGGGCCAGCGCTGTCCGCAGACACTTCCGGGTCACGTGGCCAGCGTGACAAGCTGCATCTGGCGAGCCAGCGCAGCACACGGAACACCGTTTACCTTCCCGCTAGTAAGCGGTACCTATTTATCTACTTGCACCCGGGGGTGCTTTCGAACTGCTAGGTTGGCAGGCGCTGGGACCGAGCAACGGGAGCGCACCCCGCCGTGGGGATTCGAACCGCCGACCTTTCGATCGGCAAGTCCTAATCGCTGAGGCTTTAACCCACAGCACCACCCGCGTCCCCTGTGTATTGGGGTACTGTATATTTATTTATTTATTATTTGTTACATTGTATATCCCACCTTGCCTCCAAAGAGATCAAGGCAGCATAAAGCTTCCCCCCTCTCCATTACCCTCACAACAGTCCTGTAGGCTAGGCTGAGAATTGGTGACTAGCCCAAGGTCACCCAGTGAGCTTCATGACCAAGTGGGGATTTGAAGCTTGTTCTCCCATGGCCTAGCATGACACTCTGATTTATTTGTTTATTTATGAAAATACTCAGCATGTTCATTCCATGTACATTTTATCTAGAACATCTTTGGGTTGTATTCACTTAGTCATGCTTAGAGTAGACCCACTGGAAACGAGCAGGACTTAAATCATTTCTAAAGCCCTGTTGATTTCAATGGATCTACTCTAAGCACGACTAAGTCTGGATCCAATTTGCTTGGCAGAATGTGTTCATCACATGCAACAATGCATTTTGGCAACAGTCGCACACAGAGCTTCACAAATCCCTGTTGTTGGACTACAAAGATTAGTCTATTTCTTTGTCTTTAGCATCCGATTCAGGTTATGTGAGGACAACTTGAATGGGTTTAATAGCACACTTCTGAAGGTCCTTTTGGAAGGACCTCTCTTTTTCTTGAAGATATGCACCTATGTTTGCAAGAAGAAGAAAAACAGAGCTTTGTATTATTATTTCTATGAACCATTCTGTGAATGGTTACAATTGGGTGGGGGTGGGAACCAATGGCTAAAATGTTTTGATTAAATTGATCTTTTAATCTACTCCTTGATGATACCTGATGGGTACTTTTATATGTTTTACTACAAATACTGTGTGTTTAAAATTTTGTTTTCCCTCTCTGATTTTTTTTTTTGGGGGGGGAGGGGGTTATTGGGTTGTTCTT